GGGCTAGGGCCGGGGGTTCCCCAAGTGGAAGCATTTGTTAAAACTCCTCTTGCTGTGCACTTAAAATAGTGCATTTTATTGTATGTAAACCACACTTTAATAACGTTAAGTTTACAAAAATAGAATGGCAACAAAATAACTAAAGTAACATTGGATTATAACCCAAAGTACAAGGTAAAAATCCATGTGCCCATGCTGATAAAAATGACTGGATAAATAAATAACTGGGGAAGAATAGACAAATATCTTATTCGGAAGAATTCCAAATAATTTTTGCAGATACTCGGAGGTGGCAGGTAACTCTCCATCCCCTAAGTAGGAGCTATGCTTAGTAACTTTCTTCCGAAGGGGGCACAAGAACAACTTTACAGCGGAGAAACCTGACAAAACACTACCTCAGCCAGGGGATCAAGTACATCAACAGTGATGTCTTGTTGATAATAACCAACCTTGATATAAGGTGGTCTTCCTCCCCAAAACCCATACCCCCTTCTAGTCATGATTAAACCTCAGACAAATCCCAACTGAGGAAAAGTCTACAATAGATCTGACCAGTACCCCTGGACACTGTCAAGGTCATCAATAACAGGGAGAGGCTCAGAAACTGTCACAGCCAAGAGAAGACGAAGGAGATATGACGGCTAAATGTGACATGTACCCTGGATGGGCTCCTGAGGGAGAAAAAGAACACTATGGGGAAAATGTCAATAAATTGTGAAATATAATTTATGAGAATGTACCCATATTATCTTTTTAATTGTAACAAGTATACCATAGTCATGTATGATGGTCCCTTTTTGAAATGAGGAATGAGATACACGGGAACCCTGAATTATCTTCATAACTTTTCTTTAAATATATAACTATGCTAAAATTAAATTTTATTTTAAAAATATATAATTGAGGCAAATCTGCCTAGCCCGAGGCCTGCAGACCTGCTGCTGCTGAGACCTACCGTGGAAGGAACAAGGAGTGAAAGGGGTGATCCATCCGGAATTGGGGTTCACTTTCTCACTGTGCCCAGGCCCTTCTCAAAGCCTAGTGCAGCTTACAGGGTCCTTTTCAAAGTAATGCTTTTATTTTATTTTTTTATAATTTTTCTTTACTGATTTGAGAGAGAGAGGAAGGGAGAGGGAGAGAGAGATAGAAACATCAATGAGAGAGGACATCGACTGGCCACCTCCTGCACACCCCCCACTGGGGATCAGGCCCACAACCTGGGATTCAGTGTGCCCTGACCAGGAATCAAACTGGTGACCTCTTGGTGCATGGGTTGACGCTCAACCACTGAGCCACACCAGCCGGGCTATATGTTTCTTTATTTTATTTTATTTTTTTTTGTTCAGGTAGAGTGGGAGGGAGAGAGAAGGAGAGAGAGAGAAAGAGAGAGAGAGAGAGAGAGAGAGAAACATCGATGTGAAAGGAACACATTGAGTGGCTGCCACCTGCACAACCGACCAGGGCCGGGGACAAACTGCAACCGAGGTACGCGCCCTTAGCGGGAACCGAACCCGGGTCTCTCAGGACCGCAGGCCGACGCTCTAACCGCTGAGCCAAACTGGCCAGGGCTATATGTTTCTTTAAATACAATAAATAACAAGATCTGATGGAGGCCTAACAGGTACTGTATTTTGGAAATGGTACAGAACACAAATGATATTACAAGTTCTCTGTCACCACTGCAACATATTTTGAAAATATCTGTAATTTCTATTGGTGACAAGTCACAGGTATTGCTAGTAGCACTGTGGTGTGTTCTCTCCATTCATAACAGAAAGAAATGCTAAATTTCAGCTAGAGGACGATGAAAATAAAGGTAGATTTCCCCCCTAAGACCCGAGGTTAAGAATGTCTAATTTATAAATCTACGCAGTGCCCTGGCCAGTGTGGTTCAGTTGGTTGGGTGGTGGTCTGTGCACCAAAAGTTTGGTGGTTCAATTCCTGGTCAAGGCACACGCTGGGGTTTCGGGCTCAGGCTCCTATAGAGGGCCTGCTGAAGGCAGGAGGATGTTTCACTCACACATTGATGCTTCTCTCTCTCTAAAAAATTTAATTATTTTTAAAAAGAGAAAGAAATATGTTATGCAGAGCCTACTGGCTTCTTCCCTGGCAGGAAGGAAGAACACTAAGATCCACTTAACATTAAAAGAGAGGTGCTATCTATTCCTACCTGGGGGATTCATGATAAGGGAAGGGGGACTCATGAAGGCCCTCGTGGAGGGAGTGACACTTGAGCTGGGCTTTCACAGACTGACTGCTGGGGCTCAGGCGTGCAGAAACTGGGGCGGGAAAGGATCTTCAGGGCAGAGGAGTAGCAGAGAAGGCCTGGGTGTGCCTGGTTTGGCAGGAAGGCGGATAATGAGTTCCATACGTCGGTTTTCACAGGGAGCCCTTGATCATGACCGTCCCTTGTTTGCCAAGACCAGGAATGGTTCAGACTCAGGCATCAGCGCCACCCTGCTCCGTGGCTTGGCAGCCACGGGCTTGCTGAGACCACAGACCTGCCTGATTCTGGAGGGGAGGGGGGGACTCTCGGGTTGGGGTGCTCAGGGCTGAGTTCCAGCTGGCCCTCTGCTCCCCACCCCACTGCCTGCTCAGAAAGATGTGCTCCCCCAGGAAGCCATGGCCATCTGACTGGTCAGGGTGGTGGCATTTTGGCATTTCATTCGCATCACCACAGCCTTTTGCTATTGTTAATACTCACTCCAGGATATTTTCCCCCTGATTTTCAGACAGAGTGTAAGGGAGGAAGGGGGAGAGAGAGAGAGACACTGATGTGAGACACATCGATTGGTTGCCTCCCGCACAAAACCAACTGGGGCTGTGCATCAAACCTGAAACCCAGGTACATGCCCTTGACCAGGAATCAAACCCAAGGAGGTTGCCCAGTATTAGAACCTCCTGCCCAAGTTTGGGGAACTCCCCCTCTTAGGAATCTTACCAGGAGCTCCTTGCCCAGGCTGCACCAATCAGAGGCCACACCGCTGAAGGGCAAGGCCACAGGATGGGTCTGCAACCGTGGCCACGACCAAGGCCAGATGTCAGTGTGGGAGGGAGATACAGCTAACAAATACTGAAATATTTTTTATTTTTTAAAGTGTGTTTTTGCATGTGTTATCCTTTATTATTATTTTTTTAATCTGTAGATAGAGTGGAAGGGAGGGAGAGAGAGAGAGAAACATCGATGTGAGAGAGACATATCGACTGGTTGCCTCCCACGCGACCCCGACAAGGGCCGGGGATGAACCGCAACCAAGGTTCGTGTCCTTGACTGGAATCAAACCCTTGACTCTGGTCTGTGGGCCGACACTCTACCGCTGGACCAAAGCAGCCAGGGCTGCATGTGTTATCCTTTAAAAAGCTTTTTGTAAATTAAAAAAATATATATTTTATTTCCTAGAAAGAAGGGGAGCGAGAGAAAGAGAGGGAGAGACTTATTCATGCCTTCATTGCTTGATTCTTGTGTGTGCCCTGACTGGGGATCAAACCCACGACCTTGGCATATCAGGACATTGCTCTAGCCAACTAAGCTACCCTGCCAGGGCTTAAGAAAACTTTAATTTGTGAAATATTTGACCATATAAAACCTGTATGCACAGTATAAAAAGTTATAAAGCAAACACCCTTAAATCACCACCCAGATCAAGAAGTGGGATGTTTCCAGTAACAAAGATCACAACTGTCCTATGACCCAGCAGCCCCACAGCCAGAACCGTAAGCAAAGACCTGTGCAGGGAGCTTCACGGAAGCAGGTTCTGCACCGCAAAGACCCGACAGAGGACTGAGCGCTGTGCTTGTGTGGATCAGCGCACAGAGTCCCCTCACCCAGGGGGATGGCGGGCCCAGGCGCCTCGGCTGATGTGGGACAGCAGGCCGAGAGAGGAGGGGGAGGCGACTTGACTGAAGGGTGCTTCATTTTGGTCTTTTGTATAAATATAAAACCTTCAAGAGCTCACTGTTTCTCTGTCGAGGAATTCCATTTTAGCTCATGTACATACATGCAAAGCCATAAATATGGCTTGTACGAAGCTCCCTGCTCAAAAATAGTCATCATGGCAATATTGTTATGGCCCTAAATCAAACAATTCGAATGTCCAGCAATGGGTAAGGAAAATCCTGAGGGTCATTAGAATGACTGTTTTATATACACACCATTCAGGAAATAAATTTTATAATGTGAAAAATGTTTGTGTTAAGTACAAATTCAGAAAACACAACTGTTTATGGAATGGCAATACAAAGATGTACGAAAGAGACCAAAATAGCCCTGGCCAGTTTGGCTCAGCGGTTAGAGCGTCGGCCTGTGGTCCGGAGAGACCTGGGTTCAGTTCCCGCTAAGGGCACGTACTTTGGTTGCAGTTTGTCCCCGGCCCTGGTTGGTCGTGCGGGTGGCGGCCACTCGATGTGTCCCTTCACGTCGATGTTTCTCTCTCTCTCCCCCTTCCTCTCTCTCCCTCCCACTCTATCTGTACAAAAAATGGAAAAATGTCCTCGGGTGAGGATAAAAAAAAGAGACCAAAATATATCAAAATGTTAAGAAAAAAGATAGAGACAGGGAAGGAGGAGGTAAAAACCATTTTTCTCCAGATTTTCTCTGGGAATAGTTTACGGTTCACCCCCCGCTACACTGAGGCTCCCGGGCCATGTCTTGGTGGAATGTACACTGGAGGCGGTAAGTGTACTGTTTTGCTGCAGTCTGCGGCAGGTGCTCTGCCTGGTGGGGGAGGGCCTCCCATTTTACCCCATTCCTAGTCCCTGTCCCCTTAAAAAAGGCTGGAAAGCCCTGGCCAGTTTGGCTCAGCGTTTAGAGCATTGGCCTGCAGTCCAGAGAGACCCGGGTTCGGTTCCCGCTGGGGGCACGTACCTCGGTTGCAGTTTGTCCTCGGCCCTGGTTGGGTTGTGCGGGAGGCAGCCACTCGATGTGTCCCTTTCACGTCGATGTTTCTCTCTCTCTCTCTCTCTTCCTCTCTCTCCCTCCCGCTCTATCTGAACAAAAAATAGAAAAATGTCCTCGAGTGAGGATAAAAAACAAAGGCTGGAAAAGTAAACTCCAGTCTGGGGGGCCTCCCCACTCCCACAAGAGGCCTGGCCTGGACCTGAGTCAGTCTGTTGGCCAGCAGCTGGTCCCATTATAGCTGTGGCCTCAGGTCCCCAGGCCAGGGGCCGGGGCAGCTCTCGGGCACACAGGCACGGTGGCACCTATTCGCAGCCCAGAGTTCCGTCCTGTGCCTTCCTCAGCTGAGCCCTGAGACCTCTTCCTGGAGCCCTGAAGGGAGCCTGGCCTCAGGCCGATGGCACAGGGTCAGGGTCCTACCCTCCAGGAGCCAGAAGACAGGGTAGAGGGGCCGGGTGAAGATGCCATGGAAGGTGTGCAGCCGCTGGGTCTCAGGCTCCAGGCTGTAGAAGGTCAGGCAACCAGACGCCAGGTCCAAGTCCACGCCCAGGAGCTTCCCTGACACGCCTGGGAGGCGCTGGGCCTTCCCATTGTGCCAGGCCTGGGCACTGTCCTCCTGAACACAGAGTCCCCACGAGCTGGGCCCATGGCTGATGTTGTCTGTGTGGGGTCCCAGCTTGTGCCGCGTCAGTTCTGGGTAGGCGACGCCCAGCGTCACCGAGTGGTTAGATGTGTGCACCTCCCAGTAGTGGCGCCCAGACCGGAAGCTCTGGGTGCACTGAACCTGCCAGAGCTCGAAGCTGCCTGGCTTAGCTGGGCCCCGGGGCTTTGGACGGTGCTCTACCTGCTGGTCCTGCCGAGACAGGTAAAGGTGGCGGTTGGCGCTGTCTGGGTCGAAGGTCAGATTTCGATAATCTGTTGGGGAGAGATGGACTGAAGGTGAGCAGGCAGGGTGCCTGTGCATGTGCACCCTCCTGATCCCAGAGGGGAGAGACAGCAATGGAAGCTCCATTGATGGAGACCAAGCACTGCCAGGCACACTAAGCTGAGCAGCCCTGCACGTCACCATGGCAACCAATCCTTGCCCAACCTCTGAAGCAGAACCTTCCATTAGCCTCATTTCACAGATGAGAAAACTGAGGTCCAGAAAGGTAACCTAACTTGACAGTGGAAGAATCGTGATTGATCCCAGATCTGTGTGCCTAGAATCTCCTTAAACACTATATTGGCTCCACGTGTAAGAGGTGTGCACCCTGCAACAGGTGTGCAAGGGGCGAGGGCATGGACAGGACAGTCAAAGCACGTGCCACACACATACATACTCACAAGTGCACACGAGCATACATGCATACATACACGTGCTCACAGTGCACATGTTTATATACACATATCCACATGTGTGCACAATACATTCACATGCGCACACACATGTGCTGGGCCTCCTTACTCTGCCAAAGTTTCCTCCTCAGCGGGCAAACCGGGCTTGGGACCAATGCCAGGGCACCTGGGGCCTCTAGGGAGCAAAGCAGTGTTAGGGGAGTGAGGGGGAGGTGAGCTCCTTGGGGGCTGGGCCCTGACTCCACTCCCACCCCCAGTGAGAAGGACAGCTGGGCCCAGAGGGTTAGGGAGAGATCTGGGATCAGCCTTACCCAGGGAGCCCGAGTCAGCAGCCTCAGCTGGTGCCCCGCCAGGGTCCCCCTTGTCCAGGAGGAGGCCACAAAGCTGGCTCAGAGACTCCTTCAGGCCGTCCAGCTGCTGATCTGCATCCCACTGTGGAGGAGTCAGCGGCGCCAGAGGCCCGGGGGGCGCCAGGAGCTGTGATTCCTGAGACCGGGAGACAGCTGCAGTAAGCCCAGGTGCAAAGGGTGGGCATGCTGGTCGCCTAACCTGCCTCCCTTTGCCCTGGTACCTGGAGGAAGGTTGGGTCATCCAACTGCTCCAGGTCCCGGATCCTGCAGTCAAAGCGAGCTGTGGCCTCCAGGTGGCCCTGTAGTCGCTGCTCCTCCTCCTGGGCCTGTGCCAGTGCCTGTTTCTTGGCCACCTCGATGTCCCTCAGTGCCATGACCTGGCGCATCTTCAGGGCCTGCAGCAGGCAGCTGAATTTGCCAGAGACCACGGAAGCCAGGGTGCAGGCTGAGCTCTGGATGGGTATAGGAGGAGCCTAGGTAGCCAGGGCCTTTCCCCACACCAATGCAGGCCAGGCCACGCTGCCTACTAGGCTGAGGGGTGCAGATTTGGGGAGCCAGGGTCCCTGGAACTTCTTTCCTCCATTCAGCCCCTCACTTTCCAATGCCACAAAGCATTCTTCAAGGTAGCTCACACCTACTACCCAGGGTCCCAGGGACCAGCTGGTGGCTGCCTGAAGAACACACCACCAAGTGGTGAGGTAGGACAGACAGGCCGGTACCTGGATCTGGCTGCTTCGAAGATGCAGCTCCTGTAGTTGGCTCTCAGCTTGGGTGGTCTGCTGCCGGGTGACCTCCAGCATGGCTCTCAGCTGGGCCTGTGGTGTCCACCAGGGCACAGAGGACAAGTGACAAGAGAGGGTCAGTATCGGCTGCGAAGTACCCCCTCAGTCAATCAACAAACGCCTGCAGATGTTAGGCATCCCCTCCTCATGCTGCGCAGGCAAGGCTGATGGATGGGCCAGTACACAGAGCACCGGCCTTGGTCTGAGCCCCAGGAGATTTGGGTCAGAGTGCCAGGAAGGCCCAGACAAAGCCCCTTCCCCACCTGGAACAGGATGGTACATGGGCTGAAGAGCTGACTTCCAGTTCCTCTTGCGGTGTGAGCAACCTGGGGCAGAGCTCCCAGGTAGTAACTGCCCCTGGGCTGTAAGTGCCCCATACCCCGGGACAACAAATGGAGCAAGTCTGGCCTAGGTGACTGACGGGAAGGAGCGATGGTCCAAAGTACCAAAGTTGTTTGATGAGTGGGCAGAGCAGCGCATTCCTAAGATGGGCTCTTCCAAATGCCCGGCCAGTGCTGAGCCCCAGCTTTGGGCCGTGAGGGGAAGAGGGCACTCCTGTCTGGTTGTGCCTCTCTGGTCCCCTCAAGGATCAAAATGTAGTTTCCTGGAGCAGGAAAAACTCCCGCTCCCAGGATGTGGTTCCCTGCACCTGGTCACCTCCCAGTAACACTTTGAGGTTAAGTACGGGCGTATCCCCACTTCCAGGAGAGGAAATGGGTGAAAGAAGTTGGTAGTCTGGCCAAAGTTATCAGATCTTCCTAAGTCCAACGCTCCTCCTTTGTCCAGGCCCGTGTAGGAAGTGGGAGGGCAGACTTTCCTGGTTCATCTGACCCTCCCCAGAAGATGCCCACGCAGCCCCGCGGGTCACTTCCCCTCCCACTAGCAAAACCCCAGCTCCACTGGCGCAGGTGCCATCCGGTTGTACCACCTGTCCCCCCTCCCTCCTTGTTGCTGTCATCTACTGGCCCACTGCAAACTCTCATGCTTAGTGGTCTTCGTGCCACCAACAGCATCGTCCAGGCCTGATTCCCCGTGACCTCAGCAGCCAAGGGGATTCTCCTCCAGCACTCGGGCTCTGGGACCCTAGACCTCCATCTCAGCTGCTCATTCCCATAACCTCATCCTGGCCTTGTCCCCAACCCGGAAATCTCTATTCCAAGTGTCTGTTTTCTGACCAGCACCTTCTTGGAATACAAGCACCCGGTGGCACTCAGGTCGTGGCCCGGAGGGAAACCGCCTCCTGCGGAAGCTGCCCGCACAGAGAGCAGAGCGGGGCGGCCCGGGGCGTCACCTTGCGCGCCTGGCACTCAACGTCCAGCAGCGCCCGCTCGTGGAGGCCACACTCGTTCACGACGCACGCGCTGCACACGCAGCGGCCCTCGGTGCGGCAGAAGAGCTCGAGCGGCCGCCCGTGCTGGGGGCAGCGCGCGCCGGGGTCCGGGCCGGCGGCCGGGGCGGGGCTCGCGGCCGGGCCGCGCTCGGCGCGCACCACCTCGAGCACGCTGCTGAGCGTCACGTTGCGGCGCAGCTCGGCGCCGTCGGGGAAGGACTCGCGGCACTCGGGGCACGCCTTCTCGCCGGGGCCCCACCAGTCCCGGATGCACGCCCCGCAGAAGTTGTGGCCGCAGGGCAGCGTCACCGGGTCCCGGTAGAGCGCCAAGCAGATGGCGCAGGTCAGCTTGTCTTCCAGCAGCTGCTCGGCCATGGCGGCGGGCGGGCAGGCCCGAGCCACCGGAGGTCTAGGCCTCTTAAAGGGACCGCAAGCCCAGCGGGTGCGCGGGGTGGAGCGAGGACGAGCGAGGACCCGCCCAGGGAGGAGTGACAGCCCTTCTCAGCGGACCGGACCGGCCGCCACTCCCAGCGGCCGCCGCCCGCAGCGCACCCAGTCCAGCCCTGCGGCTCCGCCCACGGGCTCCCCACTCCATCCAGGCTCAGCTACCCCTGCCTGCCTCCTGCCACCACAGGCTGGGAGTTGGGGTCCAGTTCCCTACGGTCCCTCTTCCCTAGACCCCGAGTCCAGCAGCTCCTTAGCAGGGGGATAGGGTCCCAGCTTCTAGAGACAAGAACCCCAGTGGGGCCCTGGTCTCCTGGCTGAAAGCCACCACCGAAGCTCTCACCTGGAAATCGAGCATCACCTCCACCTACCTCCCAGGGACTTTAGCGGTTAGGTGCGTGCAGCTGGGAGGGCCTGGCACTGGGAGCAGGCGCACACAGCTAGCACTCATCAAATGCTCTCCCCTGGCCCAAGGGGCCCAGCTGCACTTTTTCCTTGAGCTGTTTCAGGCATTTACCAAATCAGGGTGTCTCCCTTCTCTAGGCTACTTGTCAACAGTGGGGTGGAAATTTCTGGTCAGCAAAACAGACTAGCCCAGTTTTTTCATCCCCTTCAATGGAAACCAAAAGCACTCTTCCCTCTGGGGGACCTTCTGCAGCTCTCGGCTGTTCTGGAACCTGCTTTAGAGCAGTGGCTCCCCCGCAGCAGAGCAGAGGGCTGCTGATCGCTAACCCGCCTGGGCAGGTGTCGCCCAGGACCTGCTGGGGAGGGAACTCTTCCTACCAAGCAGGTCCCATTTAAAGGCAGGAAGCCCTCACTGCAATACAGTCTTGTCTCCTATGTTGTAAATATGTGGTTTCTCTCTCTGGAAAAAGTGCACACATCTCTTCTTGCTTGGCTACAGGGAGTCTTTTCCTTGAGAGGGTAGAGATACCCGAACCACCCAGGGAGAGCGCAGGGGTTTTCTGGGCCCCTCCAGGGGGTGTGCCTGAGGTCTGAGACCTGTGACGCCTGGCCTGATGAGCCAGGAGCCGGCCAGGGGCCAGTGCTCAGTGGGCAGATCTCTTTCCCGAGGCCTGTGGGAGAGGCCAAGGCAGCACCCTGCCCCCTGCTTTCTTCTGGACCCATCTTCAGCCCCTGGATCACAGGGCCTCTGACACCCCAAGGAGGCAGAGATGAGGGGTTACCTCTTCCCACCCATGAAGCAATACAACTCCACAGGGAAAGGGGCTTGGGGTGTCTGGCGCGGCTGCTCCGGGAACACAGACCCAGATTAACTATAGCAAAAACCTTTATTCATACACCCAGCCCTGGAGAGAGCCTCTTCACTCCCGGGAGGGCCACGGGGGCTGCCTCAGACGGCCCGGAACCACAGCGTGGCCCCTAGAGCTGTGTGTTCCTGCCTGTGGAGCCTGACGGGGGCCTGAGAGGCCCAGCAAACTCTGAGGTGGGTGGCAGTCTAGCCACTCAGTAGATGCCATAGGTGGGTTCATGACTGTCTCTGTACCGGTCCAGGTATCGAAGGGGCTGCCGGTGCGGGAAGCGCTTCTGCTTGGGGTGGTAAGGGGGTGGCCGCACAAACTCAAACACAGGCTCCCGCATGTCTGCAAGAAGAACAAGGTGTGGATGTGGGCTGCTCTGGCCGGAGCCCCGTCTTGTCTCCAGGTTGGGACTATCCAGCCAGCCCACCTGAGGAACGGTTGACCCTCTATGACCAGGGAGAACTGGCTGTCGGGTCAGGAGAGGTCTGTGAGCTCTGGCCCGCCACCCCCTTCCTGCAGCCCACCTGCCCTACCCAGAAGCTGGTGGAAGACGTGGGTGACCGAGTCATCCCAGCGGCACTGGAAGAAGGCCAGGCCTGCCGGAGTCATGGCTTCCTGGTGTTTCTTATAGAAATCAAAAGTGTGGAAGGTCCGCTGGGCAAGCTGGTAGCTGTGAGAAGATGGGGAGAGTGTGAGAGTGGGGAAGGGGACACCAGAGCCCCGTACCCCATCTCCACCCCACAGGCAATCCTGAGAAGCCCCTTAGGGCCTCCCTAGCACAACCACTGTCTGCTGGTCTCCAGTCTGAGTAGAGAGAGGAGAGGATGACTGAGCAAGACTAGACTGACCATTGCCGGGAAGCTGGCCAGCGGCCGGGGGTAGGGGGATGCAGGCGCATGTATGTGTGGGTGTAGATTACCAGGGTGAGGGCCGGGTATCTTCAGAGAAATCGATCGGCTTGTCCTGCTTGAAGAGCAGGAAGGCAAAGCGGTGGAAGCCAGAGCCCCGGGCAGGGAAGGGGGGCAGGTAGGGACAGGTCTCCTGTCCTTCAGCCACCCTGTTGCCCGGGATGTTAGTTCTGGTGGGAGGAAAAGTAACTTGTTAATTGCTAGTGAACAGAAGTGGCAGCGGGAACACCCACACCCCTGTACTCCCTGGAGGCTGAAACAATTCCCGGGGGGCAGACCCTAAAAGGATCTCTACTGTGCAGTCAAGTAGGAGGTGGAGCTCTGTGAACCCTTGGGGCTCAGAGACGGAGGATAGGGTCGCAAAGCCCAGCAGCCTGTTAGCTGCACCGTGGGGAGCCAGTGGCGCTGCGCAGCCAGGCAGGCGGGAGACCGTGCTACCTTGGAGCTGCTTCTCTCCCCGTCTGCTGAAATTCTGGGCTTTGTCAGAAGGCCTGCCCAGCCCGGCACAGGGATGGCCACTGTACCTGCCTCGAGGCAGCCCCCGAGGTCCTGCTGCACAGGGTGGTAACTGCAGTTGAATACAAATGACAGAAACCAACCTCCCAGTCCCTGGCCTCGATTACCCATAAGTCCCAAAGCTGTGGTCACCTGCCTGATTTCAGTCCCTTGACCCAGTGCTCAGAGACAAAAGCCACTGCGAAAACAAAAGGCAGGTTAACCCGAGCATGCCACAGCTGCCAAAGGCTTCACATGGCCACTCATTTGACTGCCACAGAGCTGCTCAGGGTGGGTAAGGGATGTGGAGGCCTCATCCTAGATTTCCAGGTGAGGAAATGAGTTCAGGGAGAGCGGGAGGCCTGTGGGAGCAGCCAAGGTCCGCTGCCTGCTTTTCTTCTGTACCCATTTTCAGCCACTGGATCATAAGGCCCCTAACACTCGCAGGAAGCAGAGGTGAGGGCCCACCTCCAGTGGAGGGAGGTTAACCCAAACTCCATTGTTAAGCCACAGTACAGCCCAGACTGAAACCCAGGTGCAGCTCTTCCCAAGATGCCTTCCCACATGCTGACCCACTGCCACATCCCAGGTACTCACACCAGCCAGTGGACATACTCAGCATCCGGCTCTAGCAGGTGTCCATCTGCACACAAACAGACCCACTGACTGAGGGCCCACGAAAGGAGCTATGGCTGGAGCTCTCCACCTGGCCCCCGGCCCCGCCCCCAGCCCCCCAGGGCCTTGGCTCATGGGAGGTGAAGGAGGCCAAGAGGCCCAGTGTACCCTAGACACCTACCCAAGTTGGTGAGCAGCAGTGTCCACATGGAGCCCTCGTCTGCCTCATAGGTCACCTCTGGGGCTTGGGCAGCCTGATGGGGAGAGAACAAGGGAGGTGTTCCCCCCCCAGGGACAGCTGTTATATAGACAGACCTTCCTACCCTCGTCCGTATGGTTTAGTGGTTAGAGCATCAACCCGAGAAGGGTCTTGGGTTTGATTCCTGGTCAAGGGCATGTAACCTGGGTTGCAGGTTCAATGCCTGACCCCGGTTGGGGTGGTGGAGGAGGCAACCAATCGACGTGTCTCTCTCACATCGATGTTTCTCTTTCTCTCCCTCCCTCTTTCCCTTCCACTCTATCTAAAAATGAATGGAGCCCTGGCCAGTTTGGCTCCGCGGTTAGAGCATCGGCCTGTGGACCAGAGAGTCCTGGGTTCAGTTCCCCCTAAGGGCACGTACCTCAGTTGCAGTTTGTTCCCACCACGGTTGGGGCTGTGTGGGCGGCAACCACTCCATGTGTCTCTCACGTCGATGTTCCTCTCTCTCTTCCCCCCTCTCTCCTGCTCTGTCTAAAGATAAATGCAAAAATGTCCACGGGTGAGGATTAAAAAAATAAACAAATAAAAATCAATGGAAAATATTCTCAGGTGAGGATTAAAAAAGAATCCTATTCAAACTTAAAAAAAATAAACAAACAGACAGACCTTCTTTCTTGAGCGCAGGCGTCTGAGGGAGGCCTGGGGAACCGAGAGCCCGCTCTGATCCAAACACCCTTGACAGCCCCTCTGGAGGCAGGTCCGCCAGAGAAACTTAGGGAGGACCTGCGCAGAGGGCCTGTCCAGAGACCTGAACCGCAAGCAGGCCCACATGTCAATGAACAGGGGTTAGGAGGGCACTCTGGAGACAGGGCCAGCCAAGATGGAGCTGCTTTTTCTTTCACTTTGTTTTTTTTATTTTGTAATTATCATACTGTTTACTAGGAAATCAGAAAGAGGAGATACAGAACAACAAAACCCTGGATAAGACCACATAGATGCCATGTTTGTGCCCTTAACCACCATAAAATCCACCTCTAAAAATGCTTTCAAAAAGGAGTTGATGTGGCTCAGTTGGTTGTGTGTCATCCTGTGCACCCGAAGGTTGCCATTTCAATTCCTGGTCAGGGCACATGCCCGGGTTTTGAGCTCAGTTCTCGGGGCGGGGGGGGGGGGTGGGGGGGAGCTGCGGGAGGTAGCTGATAGATGTTACACTCTCACATCAGTGTTTCTCTCTCCCTCCCTCCCTCTCTCTAAAAATCAAAATATTAAAAAAAAAAAAAGGAATCGTCTGTGGCCCTGCAGTGGGATGTGCTTGTGTACACAGGGCAGGACGGGGCACAAGCCAGCAGTACCTCAGTTGGAGTGATCTCATTGCCATGGTACACAGGCATCAAGTCATCTTCACCCACGGTGTAGGCCACGTGCAAGGGAACTCGGGGCACGAACGTGGCACTGTGGAACAGGTCTCGGTAGAGGCCATAATACTCTGCCAGACGCTGCTTGTGGTAGGGGCCACAAGTCCTCTCCCATTCAGCCCGCACAGCCTCCAGCGAAATGCGCACTGGGAAGGAATAATACCAGTTGGGACCCAGGGTGAGGGCAAAAATACACCAGCGCCCTCTCCCCTAGGAGGGCTTACCTGTGCGGAGGCGGGCAGCCCGCTCCTCCTCCACATTGGCCCTCAGCTCCTGGAGGGCCTGTTTCCGCTCCAACAGCCGTTGGGTCCGACAGACCTTGGGTGGAGGCAGCCCAATGTCAATCTTGTCTTTGGGATCTAGGGAGGAAAGATGTGTTGGAAGAAGTGGGATCAATTCTTGGTAAAGCCACCTGTCCCTACCTAGTCCTCTCACTTGCCCAAGATCTGCTGCTAAAGCTTTCCCTTTAATTCATAAAACTAAAACATACTGTGTAGTCTGCTTCACAGATCTGACCAGGGGGCCAGTTGCTAAGCAAATTGGATAAATTTGAGATTGCATTTTCTAATTCCTACACCAAATTACACGGTCTGTCTAGGTCAGTGGTTCTCAACCTTCCTAATGCTGCGACCCTTTAATCAGTTCACGTTGTGGTGACGCCTAACCATAAAATTATTTTCATCCCTACTTCATAAATGTAATTTTGCTATTGTTATGTCTTAGGTGACCCCTGTGAAAGGGCTGTTCGACCCCCAAAGGGGGCCCATTTTTTGTTCAGATAGAGCGGGAGGGAGACCCACAGCTTGAGAACCACTGGTCTAGGTCATGGAAAATAGAGGCAGATGGTCTCCCAATTATAGTTGGGATCACCTTCAAGCCTGTTCACAGCTGGCCACACCTGTGTCCTCAGTAGAACAGCTGAAGCTAGAAGGACTTAAAGTAGCACTTCTTACCCTTTAATGAACAAGCCATACAAGTCACTTGGGAAATTTGTTAAAATTCAGATTCTGACTCAGCAGGTCAGAGTGGGGCCTGGAACTGCATTTCTTTCTTTTAATCCTCACCAAGGACATGCTTTTTATTGATTTTAGAAAGAAGGGGAGAGAGGGAGAGGGAGAGAGAGAGAAACACTGATTGTGCCCTGACTGGGAACTGAACCCGCGACCTTTCTGTGTATGAGAGGATGCTCCAACCAATTGAGCCACATTGGCCAGGGCATAAAACCGACTTTCTAAGGAGCTCCTAGGTAATGCCTGTGCTGCTGGTCCCAGAACACACTTTGAGTAGCAAGGTCCTAGAGAGCTTTTAACCCAACGCCTTTCCCCATTTACATTAGACAATAACAAAAAATAACACACATTGAACTTTTTTTTTTTTTTTATCCTCACCCGAGGACATTTTTCCATTTTTTGTTCAGATAGAGCGGGAGGGAGAGAGAGGAAGAGAGAGAGAGAAACATCAATGTGAAGGGACACATCGAGTGGCTGCCACCCGCACGACCAACCAGGGCCGGGGACAAACTGCAACCGAGGTACATGCTCTTGGGGGGAACTGAACCTGGGTCTCTCTGTACCACAGGCCAACGCTCCAACCGCTGAGCCAAACCGGCCAGGGCCACACTGAACTTCTATTAAGAATAGATTAGGCTCCCTGGCTGATTTGGCTCAGCGGTTGGAGCATCCATCAGCCTGAGGACCAGAGAGTCCTGGGTTTGGTTCCTGCTAGGGGCACGTACCAATTAAAAAAAAAAAAGATTAGGCTAGAAATTCCAATGGACCATGTCCTTTAATGCTCACACTTTTATGACACAGACATAATTATTTGAGTTTACAGTTGAAGAAACTGAAGCTCAGGGAAGTCACTCCTAAGAGGCTGGCTTGGGTTTAAATCATGCTGTCTAGTTTCCATGCCTGTGCCCTTAACCACCATCCACAGCCTCTGTGAAGGCTTTCCAAAAGGATGCACTTGTAAGTTGCTCAAGGGCAGAGTTCCCGAGTCATCTTACCCAGGGCTTTCAATTTCATTCAGCAAAGTATTGCACACTATGCGGGTGCAAGGATCCAATGACGGTTAATGACAGGCAGGACCCCTGTCCTTAGAGAGCTCACAATCTGGGCGGGAGGCAGCGAAAAGAAAGTAAGGACGGTATGAGCAGGGCTACATACTGAGTATTTTAGGAGCACAGAGCGGCGTTATAATTCGGAATTGCGGGGGCGGGGGGCGGCCAAGAAAGGATTTTAGGAATAGAAATATCTAAAGTGGAACTCCAATAGTGGGGGTGGGAATTTTCCAAACAGGGGGGGCCAACAGGTGTGAAAAATCCTGGTTGGACAAAACCTCCCACGGGAATGCAGGCTGGCCCCTCCCCCAATGCTCTAGGAGGACGCTGGTGGGGCCCCCGAGGCCGGCACCCAAAGCCCCGTATTCCGGTCGCCCCGCACCTGACTCCACCCCGAAATGCTCCCGGTAGGTCCGCCACCAGTGCGGGGCCCGCGCCTCCTGCTCCGCCCGGCGCCGGTAGCGGTCGAAGCTGCGGTACTTCTCCAGCCGCTCCAGGTTGCTCACGTCGATGTCCTCGTTGGGCATCGGCCCCAGAGGCGGGGTCCGGCGGCTCAGCGCGGCTGCGGGCAGAGAGCGGGACGTCTCAGGCCGGCTACGGCCCGGCCCCGCGGAGGCCGGGCGGGCGCTGGCTCGAGTCCCAGGGTTTGGGTTAAATGGGAACCTGAGAGAGCCCCACACCCTTAGACCGCTCACCCGAGGTGCTGAAGCCCCGCCACCTCCGACTTCCGCCCAGCACCGCTCGCCACCAGGGCGCCGCCATCTTCCCTCAGGTTGGCACCGCCCCCACCTCTCAAACCCCGCAGAGGTGGCGGGAATTGCGCCTGCTGCGCCGCGGAGGCCCCGCCCCGGCGCCGACAGGCCCCGCCCCGCCCCGCCCGGCCCCGCCCCTACGCTGACAGGCCCCACCCCGCGCCGCATGGCCGCGCCCCTGCGCTGACAGGCCCCACCCCGCGCCGCATGGCCCCGCCCCGCGCCGCATGGCCCCGCCCTGGCGCTGACAGGCCCCGCCCCGCCCCGCCTGGCCCCAGCAGACCCGCGACCCAGGAGCCAGGCCCAGACGACTCCTTCCGGGAGAGCTCGAGGTCCTCTCCTCCCGGAGGGAGGCGGCTGCGGGCTCTGGGCGACCCGGCCCCAGAAGTACTTGGTGGACGACAAGGCGGAGCTGCGAGCGGTCGGGGCTCCTGCCCGCGGCCGGCCACCGGGGGGCGGCAGAGGTGCGGCTCTGAGCCCAGTTCCCCAACGCGGCATCCTGAACCCCAATGCTGCGGCGGCGGCAGGGGATGCCAACAGGGATTCTGGAGTCAGGCTGCTTGGGTTCAGATCTAGATTGTGACCTTCCTCGCACCCTTGCAGGTGCCTCCTTTGGGTAAAAAGCAGGTAGCAGTAGTACTTAACTCTGTTGTTAGGATTAGATTAATTTAACATATATAGCATTTACTGTGGTATTAAGACAGGCTGGTAAGCCAGGACAAGCAGAATAGGGAAAGTGAGACGGATAGTTAAACGGCAGGTTGCAGCCATCTGGAAAACCCTATCTTCCCCAAACAAGGACAGTTGAGTATGGAAAGGGCCCTGGCCAGTTTGGCTCAGCGGTTAGAGCGTCGGCCGGCAGACCCGAGAATCCTGGGTTCGGGATTGTACCTCGGTTGCAGTTTTCCCCGCCCCGGTTGGGGTGGTGTGCTCCATGTGTCTCTCTCACGTCGATGTTTCTTCTCTCTCTCTTCCCCCCTTTCTCTCTCCTGCTGTGTCTGAAAGTAAATGCAAAAAATGTCCTTGAGTGAGGATTAATAAAAAGAAAAGAATCCTATTCAAACTTAAAAAAAATAAACAGACAGACAGACCTTTCTTCAGCCCAGGCGTCTGAGGGAGGCCTGGGGAACAGAGAGCCCGCTCTGATCCAAACACCCTTGACAGCCCCTCTGGAGGCAGGTCCTCCAGAGAAACTTAGGGAGGACCTGCGCAGAGGGCCTGTCCAGAGATCTGAACCGCAAGCAGGCCCACATGTCAATGAACAGGGGTTAGGAGGGCACTCTGGAGACAGGGCCAGCCAAGATGGAGCTGCTTTTTCTTTCACTTTGTTCTTTTTATTTTGTAATTATCATGATATTGTTTACTAGGAAATCAAAAAGAGGAGATACAGAACAAAACCCTGGATAAGACCACATAGATGCCATGTTTGTGCCCTTAACCACCATAAAATCCACCTCTAAAAATGCTTTCAAAAAGGAAAAAAAAAAGTACATAAATGGTTTGCTGTTCTCCCCAACCAGAGGGTAAATAGCTTAAATCACCCTACTCAGGGAGACAGATAACAAATTCAACTGGTACCATTTGCCAACCACACCCAAAGACAGATAAAATTAAGAGAATAAATCTTTGTCCAGCCATTGTGGCTCAGTGCTTGAGCATAGACCCATGCACCAAGAAGTCACTGGTTCGATTCCCAGTCAGGGCACATGCTCAGGTTGTGGGCCAAATCCCCAGTGGGGGCATGCAAGAGGCGGCCAGTTGATGTTCTCTCTTAACGATGTTTCTCTTTCTCCCTACCTCTCTCTCTCTCCCCCCCAAAAAAGAGAGAATAAATCTTCATTGTGGTATATCAGCATAAAGATTATGAATATTCTACTGATCCTCCCCTAAGATCTCCCCCAAATGTCCAGCCTTTTAAAATCCCTCAAAAGAAAGGTCTCAGGGAGGGTTCTTCCTCTTGGGAGCACATCCATGCCTCCCCCGCCCCTTTCCCCAAAGCATGCATCTTCTAAACACTAAGGTACCCCAGGAGGTTTGCAGCCAGGGCAGCAATGGGCAGCAGCAGTTCATCCCAGGCAAACCCTCTGAACCTGTCCCCAAGCCCCCTTTTCTCTGCTTTCTTTTTCTTTTTGGTACGTGCCCCCAGCGGAAACCGAACCCGAGACTCTCTGGTCTGCAGGCCAACGCTCCAACCGCTGAGCCAAACCGGCCAGAGCTTCTCTGCTTTCTTATATGAGCCAAAGCAGCCCCTGCCTGGGATCATCCCCACCTTGTCCTCTCCTGTTATCCCAGCCCTTCCTTGTTTCACTGTCCCCAGCTTTTAACAGACATTCTCTAAAATTCACCCGGACTCCGTGTTATGAAATATTTCCTACTCGAAGTCAAGAACCCACACACTACTGCCGGCCCTAGGCAGACCCACCAAGGGCCATGTTCCCTTTCCCCTGACAGTATATGCGTTAGCTTTTGGTCACCTCCATTTCCCCAATATCCACACAGTGGCATGTCAGTGTCTCTGCCTCAATCCTTCCAGGGCTGTGCTGCTCTTGGGATCCAGTACTAACAAGGCAGAACTTGGTACCCCAGGTGAAGTGGCCCCTGTGCCCTGGTACTCTAGTTTTCATGCCACTACACCAGCTTAGTCTCTTCTCACTCAGCACTTTGCTCCCCAGAGCACTGGATCATTGCATATGCTGTCACTTCTACCTTCCACTCCTCACCTTTGCCCCTGTGGCCTGGTTGCTTCCCAGGCCCAGTGGAGTGGTCCCCCCAGAAAGCCTTTCCCAATACCCAAGATTCCGAGGCTAGACGGGGCTCCAAGGCTCGGCTCTGCTTGGCTCTCCAAGGCTCCAGGATTGGCTCCGAGGCTTGGCTAGACTCTGAGGCTAGCATTAGTCTTTAATGATGTCACGCTGCACGTTGACAAGTCACACTTTGTTCTTGTGTTGGCAGTGGCAACTTGCAAGATGCCTAAAGGGTTTGAGCACCAGACTGGCCTTCAGGGAACAGACACTTGTTCCAACCTCCCCCACCTCCTTCCTTCTGAATTCCATCCTGGGCCTGTACAGGACGCAGCAGCTGTGGTGGACTGGTTTCATCCGCGTGTGCACCAACTTGGCGCGGAATTATAAAAACATATTTACAGACATTCCATAGTGTTTTCATAATCAGGCGCAAAGACCCTTTTGTCAAAAGGGATTCTATCTGCCCTGGCCAGTTTGGCTCAGCGGTTAGAGCGTCGGCCTGCGGTCCAGAGAGACCCGGGTTCGGTTCCCGCTAAGGGCACGTGCTTCGGTTGCAGTTTGTCCCCGGCCCTGGTTGGTCGTGCGGGTGGCAGCCACTCGATGTGTCCCTTCATGTCGATGTTTCTCTCTCTCTCTCCCTTCCTCTCTCTCCCTCCCGCTCTATCTATACAAAAAATGGAAAAATATATCCTCAGGTGAGGATAAAAAAAAAAAAGGGATTCTATCTAAGGCTGTGCAAAATTCAAAAGGATCAGATCCCTTTGAATGAGTCCAGAGTCCATTAAACAAAATTGACCTGGGCTATGGGGAGGCCCCGGTGTGCCAAAGACTGCCTTGCTGGAAAGGACCCTAAAGTGAGCACACTTGGCCTCGGAGCCAGAGGCTGAAAGGGCTCCAGAAGCAGGGAAAAGTGGCTGTGCAAGTCACTGTCACTCACTGAGGCTGGTCCCTTGGTCCTGCTGGAAGAAGAGGTATTGCTTGTGGGCGCCGGCCTGGCGGTTCTGCAAAAATAGCCTGGGTCTCAATTCGAGATGGCAAAAGATGGGCTTCTTCAGAGGAAGAACAAGACCTGGGAGGCAAATACAGAATCAAACACAAACTGGTCACACAATGGAAACTGAAGAGCACATAGGGAAGGTCTGCTAACCAGAATGGCAGGTGGACATCACCTACTGGCCACAAGCAAAGGGAAGCCAGAGGGCTCTCTGTAGGTGAGGCTGCCCCTCTGGAGCATGCCATCCTACCCGGCATGTTCAGAAAATGGGCCCCCTGGAGGCATGCCCACAGCCTGGAGCACTAGTGTAGACATGGCTGTTGGAACTCCCGAGGTAGAAAAATGATTCTTCTCCTGGGGCCACACCGCCAGAGGTATGGGGGTGGGGGGTGGGGGGACAGCTTCTTCCCTGAGGCCCAGGCTTACTTCTGTAAAACAGTGGCACCCAATGACCCCTAAGGTTATTGGTTCCTGGACGGTGGCCCTTGTAAGTTCTCATCCTCAGATAGCATGTGGCCTGGGAGTTGGAGGCCCTGGATTTAAATCCCATCTCTGGCTGTGTGCCTCAGGTTCTTTCCTGCCTGAATCTCAGACTCCAGTGGTGCAAAGCAGGGGTGGAAACAGGTCACCTGTCCGTCCCTTCCTGCTGGAACATCCTAGGTATCTAAGCTGGCTTTTTGCTCCTATGCCTGTGCTATTCCCACTATCATCGCTTCTTGTGGCTTCCTGATGCCAAATGGTGGTGTTTGTGCCTGATGCAGGGAGGCTGGGGTGGAGACTATAGCTACCAGCATAGAGTGGGTGGCAGTGCCACACAAGAGGTGGCGCGTGCGCACGCGCGCACACACACACACACACACACTTCAAACACCCTTCCTGTAGCTCCACCCTTGTGCTTGTACGTTTTCTCTGCCAGGTCAGAAACAGAGAAGACGGAAAAAAGACCGTCTTTCCCCACATCCACCTATGATCCGCTGACTCTCACTTTCCAATAGAAATCTGGGTGCCTAAGGTACTAAGTTTCTAAGTTGGGGGCTCCTATGCTTTGTCTGCAGCCTACTCTTCTACTTCCCCTCCTTTTAATGAATGGCTAATCAGCATGGAAAAGATCGTCTTTAGTGAAATAGACCTCTTCAAAGTTCTTCAAGAGCTGTGCAAAGATCATAAAGGGAATTCGAGATGGTAGATCGGAGGTCAGCAAGGTTTTTCTGTAACTGCTAGAGTATGGCGTATGATTTCTGTGACATGCCAAGTCTTTCCTCATAGTTTGACAACAGCCAGAGACAATTTGTAAACAAATAGGTGTCTGTATTTTTTTTAATTTTGATCGTCACCTGAGAATATTTTTTACATTGATCTTCAGATAAAGCAGGAGGGGGAGAGGGAGGAAGAGAAAGAGAGAAACATCGATGTGAGAAAGACACATAGACTGGTTGCCACCCGCACAACCCCAACCAGGGCTGGGGCCAAACTGCAACTGAGGCATGTGCCCTTGGCTGGAATCGAACCAGGGACTCCTTGGTCCGTGGGCGATGCACATACCACTGAGCCATACCGATCAGGGCCTTTTTTTCTTTGCTCCGGACCTGGGCTACCCCCGATCAAGTGCCTGCTTTATTCAGACAGGAAATGCCGGAGTAGATCACAGCCTGTGTCTGTATTCTAATAAAAATTTACTTGTAGGCACTAAAGTGTGAACTTCATGACTGCCATGTATTAGGCTCGGCTCCAAGGCTAGGTTCGGCTCTCTGAGGCTAGGCCTGCTTTGGTACTAGCAGAAGCTTGACCCTCACACACACTGAAATGGGATGAAGGGGTCTCTCCATCCAGCAGGAAGTGGCCACAGCTGGAACTTGGTTTTCACAAACAGCAGCCAAACAACTCACCTCTCACCACTACTGCCAATCTCACATCAGTGCGCACCTACTATGTGTTAGGACCAGTAGGACCCAGTCCTGCCCTTCAGTTGTTGTTTTTAATTTGTGAGATCCTGAATGTGCACAGCAGAACTGAAGGCTGTGGGTGGACTAGGACTATGCACCAGGCCCGGGAAGCACAGGGGTTCGGATCTTAATGTTCCTGTGCTTACACCTGGACTCCTTTGCTATTTTAGCTTTTCCTTTTGATTTTGAATCCTCTTCTGTGTGCCTCTAACCCCACCCCAGCCTACTGGTCTGCAAATGAAAAGCACAGAGCCTCTGGGGGCTGGGGCATGGGGCTTGCTGGTCTACCAGGTGGCTCCTCTCTCTCTCTCTCTCTCTCTCTCTCTCTCTCTCTCTCTCTCTCCTCTTTTCATATTTCTCCATTAGTCTTTACTTTTTTTTTCTGAAGGTCAACATTAGTCTTTACTTTTGATAAACATTCCTTTCTTCTCTGTCCTAGAACCTTCTGAGAGTGGGGCTCGCTTGGAATTTAACTGTTAGAAAGGCCAAAAATGGGTTCAATTTGAAGCAAACAGTTTGAATAACTCTTGAAACTGGGAAGTGTTGGCCCCACCAGTCTCTTTTATCATTGCTACTTCCACCCATATTTCTCCTTCCAGGAAACTGAATTAAGGGTCTGGGCTATGACCTCGAGGAGCCGTTTATTTGAAAAGAAAAAGAATGTCTGGCAGATACACAGCCCTTATTCCTGTGTGCAGCCCTCCACCAGCTGTGTTCCGAAGAGCTGATGTGGGGGATAAGCTCCCAGCTACACCTTCACGCCGGTGTCCACCGAGCATAAGTGAGTCAGGAGATCTGGCTAGAAAGAAATGGTAAAGACTCATTAGAGGGTCTTAGGATTTGCAAACCAGAAACACAACTAGGCAATACCCAGAAGGTTTCAAAGAAAAAAGAAAAGCTGAGTTATTAAAGAGCACATTGTTGAGAAGCAGCAGTCCTGCTTCCTTAGCTTCTGGAAGGGTCCAAGATGATAATATTCGAGATGTTCAGTGGTCTGGATAACGGATGTCAGGCAGTCTGGATCCGTGAACATTCTTTCCCAGGTCCTCCAAGGAGCAATCAGGTTTTCAGGTCCCTGGTTAGTCAAAGCAAGAGTAGACTTGTTTCCTCAGGCCCCACCCTACTTGATTCCAGTAATTTAGCAGCTTGACTATAGTGACTCCATTTTATTTCTTCACTCTTTCCTCACTAGGGAGAATGATATAGAGCAGTTAGTGTTGGGCACTGAGTAAGGTGTCATTATAACTGAGTGCCCATGGAACGTCTCCACTGTCCAGAAATTTGGGGACCCTCTTTGATACACCTTCCCCTCGTTCCATCCCGACCCTCCATGTCAGGTACCAGGTCCTGTGGGGTCACTTTTCTGTGACCCTTCACTGTCCTCAGCCTCCCTGTACCACTGCAAGCAGCTTTCCAATGGCTCCTGTCCTCTCCTGCCCCTTCCTGTCCTCCACCCACAGCCACAATAGGTTGCATTTAGGTTTTCTAAGTGCAAATATGGCCCCACTGTTTAAAACCCTTTAATGAGTTCCCATTGCCTTGAAGATAGAAATGCAAACTCTTCAACAAGATATACAAAGCCATATCCACAGGCTCTCTAATTCTAAAGTCTTTCAGTCTTGAAGGCCAGGATGCACACCCCAATGTGTGCCCATGGTCACCCACATACCTGCCAGGTGCCTGCTTAAATGCTAGCTGCTCCGGGACCGTGCCACGCTCCGAGCCCTCCAGCGCTTCGCACGGAGGGGGCTATCCATGTGCGTTGAGGGGACCCTGTGAGCATGAAGGCTTCTGGTGGGCACTGGGTGCCCCCCCCCCCCAGGGAGGTGCAGACCCAGGCAGCTCCTCTCCTTCAGTGACACTGCATTCAGCGCGCCTCTGGAGGGCGCAGCCGTGACATGGCTGCGAGCCCGGTTTTGCAGTCGGCCCAGGCAGCACTCAAGCCCAGGTTCTGCTACGGTGCCGTTACCCTGGGTCCATTATTTCCTCCCTGAGCCTCAGTCCCTCTGGCCGTGGTGTGCAGCTTGTAGCTGGAGGTCCAGCCCTGGCCAGTGCTACAGCCCACAACAGTGCTATGGAGCAAACTTTCTGAGAAGTAAGTACAAACTGATGAGCCACGGCAAATTGTAAGAATCCAGGCACTAAGAGTATAGCAATTGATGCCCTGGTCTGTGTGGCTCAGCGGGTTGAGGGTCGTCCAGTGCACCAAAACGTCACCACCAACCAAGGCATAGGCCCAGGTTGCAGGCCCTGTAGGGGGCGTGCAGGAGGCAGCCAATCGATGTGTCTGTCTCTCCCTTCCTCTCCAAAATCAATAAAAACATTAAAAATATATCAATATACATATAGCAATTCATGTTAGGGACTCTAAACAAGCACTGAAAGCCACTGTCAGAGCGTAAACTGGTCCAACTACTTACAGAGCAATTTGGCAGTAACTAGTCAAGTTTAACTAGCAAAGGTATGCACCTATTCTGTGACCTAGAAATTCTACTTCTGGGGATCTACCTTAGAGAAGTGCTTACCTATATGCCAAGGAGGCATGCCCAGCACTGGCCGGGCAGCATTATTTATAATAAAATCACAATAAAAAACTGGAAACATGCTAAATGCCCATTTGCAGGAGAATGAATAAATAAATTGTAGTATATTCAAACAATGAAATAGTATTCAGCAGTTAATATTCATGAATTGGATTTAGAAATAAAGTTGTGAAAAAAGAAAGTTCGCAGAAGAGTGTATACAATATACCATTTACATAGATTTTTAAACATACAAATCAATATTCTGTATTGTTTGTGGAACATACAGAACAAAACTGTAAAACCAGAAAGAGAATGGTGATCTCTTAATCAACTATGGCAAGAAATGAACAGTAGTTAGGTTTTTTAAAAAGAACATAGCAGTTTAATGGGTCCAAAATGAAGGCTGTACATTGTTGGTAAACAAATGAGATCCCAGAAAGCTGTTGGGACTGTGAGGGAAACCTGGCGGGGCACCGCACCCCCCTGCCCGCACCCCGCACCTGAGCAGGAGGACAGAGGCCCTGTAAAATGTGTGGTCCGACTCCACGTCCCCATCAGGGAGGGGACCCTGCGCTGTGTCTGCTGCCTCGGGCGGGGAGGGCAGGAGGCTGCTCGTGGCACCCTTGAGAACCCCCACCTCAGAAGGGGCCCGGTGAAGATCCCCCAGGCACCTGCCCGCCAAGGAGGGGAGGGGCCACAGAACCCAGGCGGACCTGGGGGTCTGAGATGGGTGTCTCTGGGGTAAGAGGACCAACGCAGGCTCAGTGTCTCGGCCCGAGATACTCCCAGTGTGTCTCCCCAGAGGCCCATGTGGCTCAAACCCTAGAGGCACGGAGCACCACCAGCTGGCAGCCTGGAGAGAATGCCCCCGCACCCTGCGCGCACAGAGCCTTCCCTGGGCACCCCTCCCTGGAGCTGGCAGCCAGGGGCAGCAGGGGAGCGCCAGGCTCGGAGGCTTGTGCTGGAGGCAGCAGGGCCCTCAGGCTGAATGGGATGCCGCGTTGTAGGGGGCCTTCTTCAGGGTCTCCAGGAAGAACTGTTCATTCTCCAGGAAGTCTCGGTCCTGAAAGGCAGAGGGGAGAGCAGGCACCCTCGGGCTCCCTCCTGCTCCGCTTTTGTGAACAGGGACACAGACTCGAGGGACTGAGAGGCAGGTCCTGGGGGCCAGCCAGCCAGCCCCACTCAGGACTGCTCCCTGTGTACTCCCTGGTTCTGGGGAGCTGCGGGGCGGGGAAGAGGGGGGGAGGATCACGTGCTCCAGAGTGAGACCAGGCCTCAGTCCTGGCAGGGCCACTGGCTAGCACGGGCTTCACCTCTCTAAGCCTGTCTGTCAACTGTAGGGAATAAAGTTTCCCACCTGGTAGGGCTGGGGGAGGGGAATGTGTTCAGCACAGAGTCTGAAACCCGGGAGAGACTGAGTGGTCACTGCTACCACTGCTGTCACAGGGTCATTGGGAGGCGCAACTGACATGGTATGCATAATGGCTTAGAAGACAACCTGATGCCCTGGCCAGTTTGGCTCAGCAGATGGAGTGTCGGCCTGCGGACCATCCCGGGTTCGGTTCCCACTAGGGTCACGTACCAAAAAAAAAAAAAAAAAAAAAACCAGAAGAGAACCTGACCCACAGGACAGGTCTTGAAGATGGCCACCAAGCACTGTGCACCATGACTCTCCGCCAGGGGTGGGCTCAGCCCTCCTCAGGACAGGAGGTGCTCCTCTCTGACTGCCCTGAGCTGCTTGTCACCAAAGTAACCAAGAGGACCCCTGGGTCTAGGGTAGTGGCGAGCCCGGCTGGGGCCACCTCTGCTACGAGATGCTTACCTGCTCTGCTGTGTGTTTCATCAGCACCAGCTTGGCATGGAGGAGCGACGGGCCCAGACTGGCTGATGGCTGGTTGCCCTGAGGACCGGCAGGAGCAGGAGCCATGATGGCTGAAAAGGCTGAGGAAGAGGTCAAGGACCAAGCATCGGTGGGAGGACAGGACGGCCACAGCTTGTCTCCCAGGGGCCTTTTTACCACTGTGGGTGGGCGCAACTGGGACAACCTTCTGGGCACACCCACCGACTCTCAAAAGCCTTTGAAAATGCTCATGGGATTTGACCTGGCCAAGTCCAAGTCTAGAAATTTATTCAAGGGAAATAATCACACCAAGGTGCAGAGATGTATATATAAAGATGTTCACTGATGTGCTGTTTATCTTAGTGATAACAAAAAAAGATACACCCAGTAAAAAAAAATCATTAAAAATATGGAACAGCCTCATAATGGAAACTTATGATGGTTAAAAATTCTGGTTAAATGTTTCATTACTGCCCTGACCAGTTTGGCTCAGCGGTTAGAGCGTCAGCCTGCGGTCCGGAGAGACCCGGGTTCGGTTCCCGCTAAGGGCACGTACTTCGGTTGCAGTTTGTCCCTGGCCCTGGTTGGTCGTGCGGGTGGCAGCCACTCGATGTGTCCCTTCACGTCGATGTTTCTCTCTCTCTCTCCCTTCCTCTCTCTCCCTCCCACTCTATCTGTACAAAAAATGGAAAAATATCCTCGGGTGAGGATAAAAAATAAAAATAAAAATAAAAAATAAAGAACTGTGAAAAAAAAAAAAGAATGAAAATGTTTCATTACTGATATGAAAACTTGTTCCATATGTGTTTCAAAAAAAAAAATCAAGGTACAAAACGGTATATGATACAATGTCAATTTTGTTTTTAAAAACACACAGGGCAGTCTAGAATGCTATGCACCAAAATGTTAAGAGTGGTTCTCTCTATCCCTGGCCAGTTTGGCTCAGTGGTTAGTGTGTTGGCCCTCGGACCAAAGAGTCGTAGGTTTGATTACAGTGAAGGGTATGTAACTCAGCTGCGGTTATGCAAGAGGCAGCCAATTGATGTGTCTCTCTCACATCGATGTTTCTCTCTCTCTCCCCCTCCCTCCCTCCCATTCTGTCTGAAAATTAATGAAAAAAATATCCTTGGGTGAGGATTAAAAAATAGACAAACAGCCAGGCTGGTGTGGCTCGGTGGTTGAATGTTGACCCAGGCACCAGGAGGTCTCCAGTTCGAATCCCAGTCAGGGCACATGCCCAGGTTGTGGGCCAAATCCCCAGTAAGGGGCATGCAGGAGGCGACCAATTGATGTTCTCTCTGATCGATGTCTCTACCTTTCCCTCTCCGTTCCTCTCTCTAAAATCAATAAGGAAAAAAAACCTTAAATAAATAAATAAAATAAGCCCTGGCCAGTTTGGCTCAGTGGTTAGAACGTCAGCCTGCGGTCCAGAGAGACCCGGGTTCGGTTCCCGCCAAGGGCATGTACCTCGGTTGCAGTTTGTCCCCAGCCCTGGTTGGTTGTGCGGGTGGCAGCCACTTGATGTGTCTCTTTCACGTCAATGTTTCTCTCTCTCTCTTCCTCTTCCTCCCACTCTATCTGAACAAAAAATGGAAAAATGTCCTCGGGTGAGGATAAAAAAAAAAAGTATAAATAAAATAAAAGTAGTTCTCTCTAGAGAATGTGGTTGAGAGAGACATTTGAAAAAAGTTTTCCTCCATTTTAAAATGTACTTTTCTATGGTGAACATGCATTACTTGTGTAAAAAGTAGTGACGAGATAACCTGAACACCCAGCTAGCCCCCTAACTTGAGTGGAGGGAGGCGTGGGCAGGATGCTCCTGGCACTGCCCCCCAGTGGTCCAAGTCCCATCCTTCTGGCGCTACTCACCACTCTGGCCAGAGGCTGCTAGGCCCTGGGCCTTAGCTAGCAGCCCCACAGGGCTGGGCAGCAGGTCCTTTTGGATACGGTCCAGCAGCAGCCTCTGCTGGGCCAGACTCAGATGCTCCTGTGCCCCATCCCCAGAGAGAAGGACATGGTTGTGAGGGTGGGAGACTGGAGGTGGGGGGGATCAGTGTAGCCAGACTAGGGGGAGCCAGAGCTGGGAGGGGCCTTGCCTGGTGCACAAGCTGCTCCTGCTGCTGCAGCTGATCCAGCTGCCGCCGCACCTGCTGGAGCCGGGTCTGCTGCCCCGACTGCACCTGCCAGGCCTCGCGCAATGCCTGCTCTCCCTCCTGGTACTTCTCTGAGGCCACCTTCGGGAAGGTCACCTGGGTCAGCCAGGCTGGCTGAGGTCAGGGCACTGCCCAAGCCCCAGCCACGCCCCGCGCTGAGCTGCCTGGAACCTGGCTCATCTTCTCCACCTCCTCAGCACGGAGCCTGATGCGCAGGGCAGAGGCGTTGACCCTCTCCTTCTCCCGCCGCAGCTCCTCCCGTTCTCGATCCAGAGCCTCCCTCTTGGCCGACAGCTGGTCCTCCTTGGCCCGGAGCTCGTTTGCCCTGATCTTCAGCTCTGCCTGCTCCTAGAGGTGGCAAAGCCTTCACTACATTGTCCTCTCAGGAGCTGAACTAGGCTCTGCTCAGGGTTCAAGGAGCCCCCTGGCCCATCTGCTTCATTGCTGGTGCTCCACCTGACCCTGACTCTGGGAGGAGGCGCTGGGGTAAGGGGTCCCAGAATTAGTCAGAGAGGCCCGGGACCACACTTCAGTGCTGCCCTTCACCCCTGGGCTCAACTTCTCTGAACCCATTTCTACACCTCTGGAATATCTAAGTCATGGAGACTTGATGAAGACGGAATGAGCAATGTGTATAAGCACCTAGGACAGTGAAATGAAGTTGTTACTATTACATGATTACTGTGGTTTTAATTCCAATTCTCTGTTGCTGTGCCCTGGGCTAAGCTAACCCGTCGGGAGGGAGGAGCAGAGTGAGGACCAGGAAAGTGGCAGGGCTGGAGGCTCTGGGCCCTACCTGGGCCTGGCTGATGAGGGTGCTTTCTCGCTGAGTGTCCACCTGCAGGGCCCGCACCACCTCTTGCTCGGCCCTCTCCTTACTCAGCTTCTGCTGTGCGAAGAAATCAGCCCACTCGGCCGCCAGGCGCCGCCGCTCCTCCCCACACTTCTGCATGACGGACTTCTGCTCCTCCAGCAAGGCGCTCTAGGATGAGGGCGCGAAGGCAAGGGGTGGGATTCTCGGGCACAGCAGCAGGACGGCAGCTGAACATGGTGTGGCTGGACTCACCTTGGCCTTCTCCAGCTCCTCCCGCTCCATGGCCATCTGCTGGGCCATGACCTTCCTCTGCTCCTCCAGGGCGCGCTGCACGGATTCCGCCTTGGCCTGCTCAGCGCTCAGCCGCCAGCGTTCCTGAGGCCCAGTCAGGGCTGAGAGTGAGTCCCCCCCGGCGCTCCACCTGCCCCCAGTCAAGCCCGACTGCTGTGCAAAGCCACCTGCATCTCCCACACTACGTCACACACACCTCCTTTCCAGACAGGTGCAAAGCGAGGGCACCCGAGGACTCAGGGCCCAGTGCTGGATCAAGTGCACCGAGGCTAATGGCTCAGGGACCTCTGCTGAGAGGCTCTGGAGGCAACAGCACCCCTGGTCCCTGTGTTTCCAGCAGCAGCACTTGGCCTGCCTGTCTCCCATCAACCACGCAGGCAAAGCACCAGGGTGGGCATGACGATGCACATGCCAGGGAATGCAGGGCACACACAGCATGAGGTTAGAAGCTGAACTGTGCCTGGCCCGAGGCAGGGGCTTAATAAAGTTACCAAATGAAGGACTGAATAAATATGGTCTGTAATATAAAACATCTCCATATTGCCCAGCCGGTGTGGCTCAGTGGTTGAGCATCGACCCATGCACCAAGAGGTTGCCAGTTCGATTCCCAGTCAGGGCACATGCCCAGGTTGTGGGCCCGATCCCCAGGCAGGGTCATGCAGGAGGCAGCCAATCGATGTCCTCTCTCATAGATGTTTCTATCTCTCTCTCCTTCTCCCTTCCTCTCTCTCTAAAATCAATAAAGAAAAAAAAGAAAAAAGAAAAAAAAATCTACATATTGATGTGTCCACAGGACAAATATGATATCATCAGTAGCTATGTTTAGCTAGTGGGTAATTTTCATTTTTTTCTTTATTGTATTATGCATTTTAATTTTTTTCAGTGAAATGTATCATGTTATAACCTAGTACAAAAGAAAGGAAAGGTATTTTTTTAAGAATTAAAGCTTAGCCATGGCCAGTTTGCCTTAGAGGTTAGATCATCGGCCCATGGACCAATGGGTCTTGGGCTCGATTCTGATCAAGAGCATGTACCTGAGCTGCAGGTTTGGTCCCCGGTCCTAGTCGGGGCCTTTGGAAGGCAACCAGTCAATGTTTCTCTGTCACATCAATGTTTCTCTTTCTCCCCTTCCTTCACGTCCAAAAAAAAAAAAAAGAAAGAATATAGCTTACTCTTCCATGTGAAAGACACACAGGGAGTTCAACACGTATCTGTAGACAAGAGCATTCCTGCCCACGTCACAGGCATCACCACCGTGACAGGTTCGGGTGGCTGGAAAGAACGTGGATGTGCAGCTGGTGGGCAGAGGGGCTCAGCTGCAGTGGGCGGGGGCAGTTCCGAGGGAAGTCCCGAGGCCAGGGCAGGGAGCTCAGAGTACTGCTGACATTCCCTGGGGCTCTGCCAGACAGGCCTTGCCTGGGCGGAGGATGGCCCCACCTGCTCCAGCTGCCGGCTCTGCTCGTTCAGGCGGGCCTCCATCCTCCCGATGACTGCCTGGAGCCGGCTCCGCTCCTCCTCCGTGTCCCGCTGCTGCAGGCCCAGCCGCTCCTGCAGTGCTGGGGACGGCCCACAGGGCACTCAGTCTGCCCACCTGCCCACTGAGATGGGAGAGGGAGAGGGACACATGGCCCATGTGGTACCTCGGAGCTGCTCGTCCCGCTGCCGGATGCCCAGCTCCCGCTCCTGGGCCATGGTGAGGTGTGAGGCCTCCACGCGGGAGGAGAGCTCGTTCAGGCTGCTGGAGAACTTCTCCATCTGCTCGATGATGCCATTCAGGGACCTGGGGAGGATCCGGTCACCCTGGCCTGGGGACCCCAGCACCGCCCCCTGGGGTGGGCAGGGCCTGGACCACGCACACACCGTGTATGGGAGGTGGCGCTGGTGACGGCATCGATCTCTCGGTCCTTCAGGAGCTTCAGCCGCTGCAGCTGCTCCTCGTGGTCCTTGCGCATCTCTAGGATGGAGGCCCTGCAGGGCCGTGGGAGGGTGGGCTGTGGGCAGCTTTCCCAGGGAGGAGCGTGCCTCTGCGCAGTGCTCCCAGGCCTCCCCTGCCTCAGTTTCCCTGGCTCCTTAGCCTTATCTGTCTTGGTGCCTTACTGCCGCATCCGCCCTCTAAGGGGGAGATTCCTTCTGTTATTCAGCAAAGATTTTACACAGAGGAAAAGACAGGCATATCAGACTAGTGTTAAAGGGCCAGCTCTGCCCTCATCAGCCAGCTTCCTTATGTACCTTGTCTTAGCTTTGTGCTGACCTGGGAAGCCAACCAGATCGAAATCCAGGCACACAACACAAACCACTTCCAGGGCTGGTCTAGTAACCAGGCTTGAGAGGTCCAGCAGGCAAGGGGCTTAGCCTGGGCTGAGTTAGCCTGTGGTTGCTTGCGGCTGACAGGCCCAGCTCAAACAGCGAGGGCCCTGTGGGTACCCTCACACCTTTCTAGAGGTGATGTCCCCTGCCCCTGCCATGGGTGCAGTGGGTCAGTGTGCTGGCCTGGGTCCTCACCTGGAAGGGAAGGGGTCAGGCCTCGGTTCACAGGCCGTTGAGTCACGCTTGGGGGTCTCACGCCATCAGATTGCTCTGGCTACCCTTGAAGCCCATCCCCTGCCCGCCTGGCCCCGGGCTGCGCCCTCACCGTTGCAGCTCTCGCAGCCGCTCCATTTCCTGGTCCTTCTCCTGCACCGCAGCTGCCAAGCGCCGCTGGTGCTGGGCGGTAAGCTCGGCTCGGGCCTGCTCAGCTTCCTGACAGTGTGACAGGTAGCGGGCGGACAGCTCCTCGCTCTCTCTCCGCAGCCGCTCCTCCCGTTGCTGGTGGGATGTTTCTAGCACCTTGATGCGGCTTCTGCCAACAGAACACCCAGCTGTGGGGCACCTGGGCCGGGGCAGGCCATTTGCCTCGGGAAGCCCAGGAGGCCACGGCAGAGGACGGGGTACCTGTGAGCATTCTCGATGAGCTCCAGGTCGGCCTGGTGTCGCTGCTGCAAACTCTCCAGCAGCAGCTTGTGCTGGGCCCGCTCCAGCTCCAGCTTCCGCACCTGAGAGGGCGAGAGGACAGGGTGGAGGGCGGGGAGGCAGCTCCCTCAGGTCCCCTTGGGAAGCCTTCCAGCCCTCAGTGACACCTTCCCATCGCACACCTGCCCCACAGCCAGCTGGCCCCTGCCCTCACCTGGGCCTCCAGCTCTGCCAGCCGGGCCTGACTCTGCAGAAGCTCAGCCTGGAGCTCGGCAGTGCCATTTTGAAGCTGCACCTGAGCAGCCAACAGCTGCTTCTGGTATTGTGCGCCTGGCAGCAGGCTCTGTGCCAGTGACTCTGGGAGCAGGGCCTGGAGAAGGAGGTCAGACATATCCCAGGTTAGGCAGGGCAGGCCCTCAGCGGAGCTCAGCTACTTCTGCTCACTGGGCTCCCAGGCCCTGCACCTGACCGGGGCTGTAGATGGGGTCAAGGACATGACACTGAGAGGCCGAGGATGAAGCCCTGGAGAGCCACGTGGTCACCGCACCTCCCGTTTCAGGTCCGGTTAGAAAAATGAGTCTCCCTTTTTGCTCAGGGCAACATCCTCCCCAGCAATGGTCCAGATTCCTAGACAAACGTCTGAGTCCCAGCACAGTCTTAGTGACAACAAGAGTTTATAACACTGGCCCCTGCTGTCAGCCCTGAAGTCCAAATGTTGATAGCTATCCCGCTTCCTGCTGGCTGCCCAGCAGCCTCCACCTCCAAAGGTGCTCTGCGTTACCAGGGTTTTGCTCCTGGGGGGCTGGGGTCAGAGGTGACTGCCACATCTGGGAAACAGATGGAGGTGTGCAGGGAGGATGGCAAGGCTGGAGGAGCTTTCTAGATAGAACACCTGCAACCCTGCTTTCTGACCGGAGCATTCCTGGCTACCTCGCATGGGGACCACCTCTAATTCCCTATTGGTGCTGGCCAGTTAGCACCAGCTCTGCCTGACAAGGCGGCGGGGGCAGGGAGGTGCTGGTGGCAGCCAGGGTGCGTGCGCTGACATCCTGGCAGGCTGTCAGGTCAAGCACTGGGGCTGCCTCTGAGCATGAAGAACTGCTTCATGGGCCTGAGGCCCAGACCTGTCTGTCCGCCCTACCTGGCCAAGCACAGGAAGCCCTGTGGGTTCCTGGGGGCTCGGAAGACGCACCGCAGGCTCTGAAAAATGAACAGCAGAGAACTGAGCAGGAAGGAGGCCACGGAGGCCGCGAGTCTCTCGCGTGCGCGCGTGTTTTCCAGTGTTAGTCTGCTGGGAGCCCCAAAGGAAGCTCAAAGCGCCTTTCTCACACGGATTTTAATCCCCAAACAAAGCAGAAAACAAACCAGTGCGAGAGAGGTCTCCAGGGGCTGTGTCCCTCTTTGAGTCACCCGCATAGAGGGCCAAGGAGGCTGGGTTCCACGTCACGGGGAACCTGAGGACAGAGATGGGGGAGGCAGTAAAGAAAAACCGGTTCACGCCATTGACCGGAAAGGCCCCGTGGCTGTCAGTTTCATGAAAGTGGATCTCAGTGAGAAAGAAGACAGGGCCCCGGCTTCAGGAAGCTCCTCCGAAGGCTGAGCAGTGGGCCTGACAGCAGGTATGGAACACCACATGAGTCCATACCTGCCTAGGTCAGGAGGCCCGGCTCGGCCCCCAGCTTGCCTCTCACCACCCTCAGTCCCGGCTGCAGACATACCCTGAGGTGGCAGGCTGGGCAGGCGGCTTTTTTGCTGTTTGTCCTGAGGTCCCTCCAGCAGCTGCTTGCTCGAGCCCCTGAGAGCTAGCAACAGGTTGGCTGAGGAAGTTAAAGTCAAGGTGGCAGAGGTCCAGGTTAGGTTGGACGACCAGGACAAGGTCCAGTTATACGCTGTGTGGCTATGCCCCTTCCTGTCCCCACCATCCCATCATGGGAACTCTCCTCCCAAGTCTGAGTCTCTGGCCTTCCAGAACCCCCTGCCCCCTCCAGTGCCCACCATGGCACAGTGACTGCAGAGACCATATGACACCAGTCCCGGGAGAGACAATGGACATGATATAGGCATCAGAGTTAAGTTCAAGTTCAAGGCCTTTAGACTGAAGCTCTGCTCACTCTCCTGCCAGGTCCAACTGTCCTTTGGGTCCCTCCCTTCTCCTGTTCTTTCCTCTTCTCAGCTCTGGGGTTGTGAGGAGGCTTTTTCCATAGGGTCAGGTCCAGGTCAAAGCCGCCCTCCTCAGTCACACTAACCCCAGGCTGGGCAACGTCCCGCGTCTGTCACTTCGTCCCCTTTGCTCTGGCCACTCCCTCTGGATGATCCTGGCCTTCCCGCCTTCGGGGGTCACTCACTGGCCTATCCCACAGGACACATTCTGTGCCTTCCCCCAGGCCTTGCCTCTTGGCCACTGTGAATTCCAACACCCCCAAAGAGCATGGGCAGATCTCAACCCACACGTGCATCGTTTTTCTTTCTTAGTTGTTTTTTAATCCTCATCTGAGGATTTTTTCTATTTATCTTCAGATAGAGTGGGAAGAAGGGAGGAGAGAAAAAGAGAGAGAGAAACATCGATGTGAGAGGGACACATCGACTGGCTGCCTCCCACATGACCCGACCAGGGCTGGGACGAACCACAACCAAGGTACGTGCCCTTGACCAGAACTGAACCTGGGACTCATTGGTCCGCGGGCCGACGCTCTAACAGCTGAGCCAAACCGGCCAGGGCGCATCATTTACTTCAGCTCAGGCCAGCACGAGCACTGATAATTTGGACACTGGGTGTCGCCAGCCCAAGGGCACTGTGGGCCGAGCCCTGCTCAGAGGGCTGCACGTTTGCCACATCAGGCACCCTCTGTCTCCCACTTGATCAAGTCAGCGCCTGGCCCACCGCAGCTGGGGTGTGTCAACAGACAGACCCCAGTGCCCTCGTGTCTGCACCTGGGCAAAGGCAGGAGCCAGAGGGAGAGCACAGGGGAGAGGTGGCGCTCCCTGCACCCTGCTCAGTCCACCCTCCCCTAGAGACAGCAGCCCAAGCCTGTACCTGCTGGACGGTGGTCGGCCCGCTGCCCCCACCGACTTTTGGCCCTTAGAAGTCCCAGCATGCTCTTCTCTGGCGGCATCTCGGGACTTCCTCCGAGACAAGGCATGGCTCAGCCAATCCTCCTCCGCTTTCTCCTCAGACACGCCCATCTGGGAAGGCGGGCTAGCTCTGGCCCAGGGATCTGGGCCCTCGCAGGGTGGCTTCACCCCCAGGGAGGAGGAGGGCAGCCCAGCTGGGGCGGAGTGCAGGCCTGGAGCAGAATGCTGGCTCTCAGGGCCGGCCACGAAAGGTGTGGAGAGTGCGGAGCCTCCTCTTCGAGGCTCTCTGGTGGGAGAGGGAGGGAGCAGGTCCTCATCTTCATCCTTGAGGCCCAACCAGTCAGCTCTTCCCTTCCTGGGGTGAGTGGGGCTGGTTGTTGCTGGGGTGCTCTGCTTGGAGCTTGGTTCTCCCTTGAGGTCTATGCTGCCTTCTGCTAAGAACCTACTTCAAGACAAAGAAGAGGGGTCTAGGACAGGGCAAGCAGCCTGTCCCCAAAGCCCCAGATCAGTCTTTCCCTCTGCGGCTGGGGGGTGACTGCGAGGCCCACACCAAGGCGTCTGGGGTGCTCAGAGGCTCAGCACAGCCAGCCGGAGGCCGAGAGCACGGCACCCGCACCAGTTCCGGTGGCACCAGTTCCGGTGGCAGCACAGTGGCAGCTGAGCGCTGTATGTAAAACACGATCACAGGCGTCTTGACTCCATCACAGGAGCCAGGGACAATTCCACCTGCAGCGATCAGGACCAAGTGACAACCACAGGCACACACGTCCGGAGAACATCTGTTGGGTCCAGGGTCTTCAGGCAACAGTCATTCTGTGACCTGTTCCCTTTTGGGCCATGGCCTCTACGTTTCCTGGCGGCCGCAGCGGGCACTGAGAAGCGTGGGCATGCGCAGGGTTATCAGGGAGAAAGGCAGGCCGGCACAGCCAGCACGGTGTAGTGCCAACACCGCTATGTCTGGGCGAAGGGTAGGAGGCAGTTCTTTGTACTGTTCTTACAACTTTTGTTTGAAATTATTTCAAAGTACAAAATTTTAAATATATATTGGGCCCTGGCCAGTTTGGCTCAGCAGTTGGAGCACTGGCGCGCGGACCAGAGAGTCCCAGGTTTGGTTCCCGCTAGGGGCACGTACCTTGGCTGCAGTTCATCCGGGCCCTGGACGGGGTCATGTGGGAGGCAACCACGCGATGTGTCCCTCTCATATCAATGTTTCTTTCTCTCCCCCCCGCCCCCCTTCTCTATCTGAAGATAAATGCAAAAATGTCCACGGGTGAGGATAATAAATAAATAAATAAAATATTAGGAGAAAAATCCCAAATTTAGACAATTCCCCTTTTCCTTCCGAGGAGGCCAGGAGCAGATCCGGGGCCCAGCTTCCTGCTGGGGGCCATCTCGACCACTTGGCCTGTCCAGACTGGGACTCCCTCTTCCGGCTGCACCCACAGAGCCTAGAGCCTTGCACGGTGTGGCCTCCAGACAAGACTGTCGGAGGGCCTGGGAGAGGCCGGCCCATTTCCCGGTGGGCAGCCGGTCTCCAAGGGCGCTCACGCAGGCCCGCTCACCTGACTGACTGTCAGTGGGCCTGGGAGAGGCCGGCCCATTTCCCGGTGGGCAGCCGGTCTCCAAGGGCGCTCACGCAGGCCCGCTCACCTGACTGACTGTCAGTGGGCCTGGGAGAGGCCGGCCCATTTCCCGGTGGGCAGCCGGTCTCCAAGGGCGCTCGCGCAGGCCCGCTCACCTGACTGACTGTCGGTGGGCCTGGGAGAGGCCGGCCCATTTCCCGGTGGGCAGCTGGTCTCCAAGGGCGCTCACGCAGGCCCGCTCACCTGACTGACTGTCGGTGGGCCTGGGAGAGGCCGGCCCATTTCCCCGTGGGCAGCCGGTCTCCAAGGGCACTCGCGCAGGCCCGCTCACCTGACTGACTGTCGGCGGACTGGGAGAGGCTGGCCCATTTCCCCGTGGGCAGCCGGTCTCCAAGGGCGCTCGCACAGGCCCGCTCACCTGACTGACTGTCGGCGGGACTGCCGGCCCTCGGAGGAGCCCATGCTGGGCTTATAGGCCCCAAAGGTGAACTCCTCGTCGTCCCAGGTGTCTTCTCTGTCTGTGAATTAGAAGCCTGTGAGCTAGGACAGGGGAGTCAAACTCTGCTGTGGCTACACAGCTGTTTAAAAACAGCTGGATTCCGCCCTTGCCAGTTTGGCTCAGCGGTTGGAGCGTCGGCCCAGGGACCAGAGTCATGGGTTCAATTGCGGTCAAGGGCACGCACCTTGGTTGTGGTTACGACCCGGTCCAGGTCGGGGTCATGCGGGAGGCAACCAATCGATGTCTCTCTGGCCTAGATATTTCTTTCTTTCTCTCTCCCTTCCTCCCTCCTACTCTGTCTGAGGGTAAGTGGAAAATTATCCTCGGGAGAGGATTTTTAAGAAAATTAAAAATAAAAACAAAGCAGCTGGACTGGCAGCGTGCCATGCGAGACACGTGCAGGCGAAGCAGCTTTGGAAGGGCAGGTGGGGGGCTGGGCATCAGCTCCGCATGTCCCACTCCAGCACTCGGGGGCCATGGGGAGCTGCTAAGAGTGAGGGCCCTGCCCGACCTCCTCTGGGTGAGGCCCGTGAGCTGTGTGCTTGTAACAAGAACGATTCAATATACGCCCCTGGGCTGACACCTGGAGAAACACTGTAGTGGGCTGCTGCCTATTAGCAAGTGAAGAAAACAATTTCATGAGTTGCAACCAATGTATTTATAAATCAAATAGTACATAAATAAAAAGTGGCACTGAACGTGATGATGATTATTTCATGACACTTGTCTCAGTTATAAATGTGCATAATAATGTGTGTGCGTCACAATGTAAAGCTTAGTTCTTACTATGGGTTGTGACAAAAACCTGCTCTGGGGGTCCCCCCTCCCACCTCCCCACCCCCAAAGCTTCCTCACCCTGTGGCCTCTGGTACTTCCTGTCCAGCGTGAACTGCAGGTGCTCCCTGGACGACAGGTGTTTGGTGGCAGGGCCTCGACCCAGCAGCTCATCCAGCTTGGAGCGAGCAGGGCGGGGCCCTTCCCTGCAGTATGGGCTCAGGGTTGGTACGTGCTGGTACAGGCCCATGCTGTACCCACCCTCTAGCTCCTTCTTGGAAGCAGCAGCCTGACCAGGGATGCTCCCCTCTTAAGGATTCTTACTGGTCTCCCGCCTGCCTCCTCTCTGCTTTGGGGCTATCTCCAAACCCCAGGGTGGCCATGAGGTCATCCTCATCGTCAAACAGCAATTCTTCTTTCTTTCGGACAGGGGTGCTCCCAGGAGTTAGGGGGATGGAGGGGCCTAAGAGACATAATACAGGGCACAATGCCTCAGTCATCTAGCCCTCGACTATGACATGTGGGTGGGTCAAGGGAAGCATTGCTCTGACACCCTGACCTTCGGATAGGGCAGCAGGCATTGAACATGTCTGGTCTGCCACGGGACCTGCCCCACTACTACCCCGACCCATCCCAGGCTCACCTCCACCCCCTTCTCAGAGATGAATGAGCTCAGTCCTGCAGCCCCCACCTGGCAGATCTCTGGCTCTGCCCTGGAAAGTTCAGCCATTGGGCTGCCAACTGCATCTTCCCCAGGACAAGAAACAAGCCCACCCTCCCTACCTCGCTCTCTGGCTGGGGCTGGGCTCTTTTCAGAAGGCGCTTTACTCTCTGTCCCAGGCAGCTTCTTGGCGACTCCTTCCTCATCCTCGGAGAGCAGGCCTGCCAGCGGGTCCTCCAAGTCTGTCCGGAAGGGAGAGCACAGGTCCGACTGCATACTTGCTTCAGGAAGACGGGCCCTGCACTGCGCTGGGAGGCTACTACACATGCTTCTCCCCAGCTGCGCGGACACAGAAACAGGTCCCTCAGTGTCTGGACCCAGACCGGGCTCCCCTTGGGGAGAGGAAGCGGGAGAGTGGCCCAGTGTGACTGTGCCAGGCTTGCCCACGAGCCCAGGCTCTGCTGCCTGCACAGACTGCTGGGAACGTCCCAGCATCAGAAGAGAAGTCAAATATCTGTGTTTTCATTGAGGGAAAGGAATTTTTCCTATACTTTATAAAATCTTCAGTTTGATGCCTGGCTTCAAAGTTCTTGCAAATAAGTTCCCCAGATATCCGAGTGAATACACACTATTAGTCCCTCCCTGGATTCACGAGGAACTAAATCAGTGGCACCGGCCATCTGCTCCTTGGCTGATATACGCAGCCACTTGGCTGTGACAAGGAAATGTGCCACGGCTACTCCACTCCCCAACTCAAGTGTCCCAGAGGCGTGACCATAAGGCCTGTGGTACCTTCAAATGAAAACTTCTTGTACTGATGCCCAAAGCCGCTGGGAGAGGGAGAAGGCTTCTTGGTGGGAATGGCATCCCCTGCAGACAGCAAAGAGAAGGCCAAGGTTTGTCTAGCACACCATCACTGGGCCATGGGATGGTGTGCCCTCCTTCCCGGCGGAGCTGACGGACTGTGGCCATGGACACAGCCATGGGACGTGTCTACACCTCCCCAGTTCTCACACAGGCTTCTGGCAGGAAGCATGGTCTGGCAGCCACCTGCCCTAGTCACAAGGCACTCCAGAGACATGGGGTTGGGAGGTGCACAGGCTGCCATCACATTCTCCAGGAGCTGCCATGCTGGACTCAGAGGGACTGGAACAGCCCCAGGAAGGAAGCTCAACTTGTCCCCTCCCCACCATACACTCTCACGCACACAATTAGCTCCTGGCCTGGCCTGTCCAGCCCAGACAGAGACAAACCACAGTTAGGGACGCTTCCTTCTAAGCATCTTCCATATCTTCAAAGCCTCCCACATCTGAGGAGCTACATCCTACTCACCTTTCTCATTGGCTGTTAACACATCAGCAGGTCTGGGGTTGCTGGGCAGCTCTTCCTTCCCAGAACTCTTTGCAGCGCTTTTGCTAGAGGCGAGATGAGACTTCGTCAGACCTAAGAGATCGGCATCCATGTCGTCCAGATCCTGGAAAAGCGAGGGGGAGCCCCGCGGGTGTTCAGCCGCGGCTGCCAAACGCCTCTATGTTCCAGCACTGAGAGATTATAAAGCCTTCAGAATTTATGTCTTAAACTCCATTATCAAGATCAGTTTGCCCGGCCAGTGTGGCTCAGTGGTTGAGCATCGACCCATGCAACAAGAGGTCGCCAGTTCAATTCCCAGTCAGGGCACATGCCCAGGTTGTGGGCCCGACCCCAGTGGGGGCATGCAGGAGGCGGCCAACTGATGTTCTCTCTTATTGATGTTTCTACCTCTCTCTCCCTCTCCCTTCCTCTCTATAATAGCAATAAAGAAAACTTTTTTTAAAAAGACCAGTTTGGGTCTTGATCTGATCAGAGGACAGCTATTCTGAAGGGAACTAGGCAGGGGTATGTGGAGACATATGGAGAAAGGCTAAGGACAAGCTCTGAGGAGATAGTCTCCCGTCTTTCCTGCGGGGGGGGGGGGGGCACAGCCGGGGGAGTCTTCGGGTGGGAGCTGGCCCCTTTCCAGCAGGGGCCTGCGGCAGGAGACTGTAAGCCAGGGAATCTGATTCACCCCCGAAAGGCAGAGGCAAGAGCTCCTGGATGAGCTCCACGCCCTCGAAGGGCGCACAATGCAGTCTTACAGGGAGAAATCAGAGGGAGAACGAAGGCCTGGCAAGAAGCATCAGTATCCCACCCTGCCCCAGCTCCGGGAGCGTGCACACTGCTTCACTACCTTCATGGCCTGGAGTAGAGCCTGCGGGTCTGCATCTGAGATGTCGGAAACCTGAGTCCACCAGAGGGTAAGGACACGTGTTAGTCAAGGCCCTTCGTAGCTCAGGGCTCTCACCCCTTGTGGCCCTGCTTGTTAGCATCCTGCCCTCACGTGGGATTTGGGTTTTGTTTGAAGTTAAACCTGCCCAGGTGTGGAGACCCAGAAAGTGCTGCCACTTTCGCTTCCTCCCAACTGGAAAGCCCAGGACTCAAACCTCGTCACTTCCCACCCAGTGGCTGGACAGCAGTGGAGTTTATTATAAAAGCACAGCTCCAAGGGGTAACATTAAAGGCTCCGGCAGCTGCTAGGATGACCTTCCAGGTCGTCTCAGTGGTAGGAAGGGAGAGGATGTTGCTTTGGGCCTTAGGCAGACCTTGTTTTGCTTTAAGAACAACCCGGCTTTGCAGGGCCTTCTAAACAGCCCCTCAGCCCCAGTACCCATCTCACTGTTTCCAGCGACCAGCAGAGAGGGGGGGGAGTAGGGAGAGGACCAGGCTCACCTCAGCCTCCGCTCCTGCCTCGGTGCTGAAGGCATTGTTTTCCAGGAGGGGCCTGCAAAGGGGAGGAGTCAGCACCCACCTGCATCCTGAGGGCAGCAGGTGACAAAGAAAAGGAGTTTTGAAGGCTACCTAATGCAGTGATTTTAACTTTTTAAAAAAGGAGTATAGCCTCTTTAAAACCAAAGAATAAAAAACAACAGGTAAGTCCGGCCGGTGTGGCTCACTGGTTGAGCATCGACTCATGCACCAGCGGTTCAATTCCCGGTCAGGGCACATGCCCAGGTTGTGGGCCCGATCCCCAGTGAGGGCATCCAGGAGGCAACCAATCAATGTTCTCTCTCATTGATGTTTCTGTCTCTCGCTCCCTTTCACTTCCTCTCTCTCTAAAATCAATAAAGGGAAACAAAATGAAAAAAAAAACAAACAAAAAAAAACACCAGGTAAGAGAGAAAAACAGATTGCTTTAGTTAAAATGAAGGTGGGGTAGAAAACTCACAAAGCTCCTCCCCACTGCTCAACTGTCAGGAGAACCTCAGAAAAACAACCTAAAACTACCAATCTAGGATAGTCCTCTTAGTCTGAGGATAAGGGAATTAAGGCGCAGAGAGGTTCAGGAACCGCTCAAGGCCACCCAGTAATCAGCAGGACTTCTGACCTCCAGTTCCATTCTCTTTCCACTCCCCGGGCTCCTCCCTGACTGGGAGCTGAGGGACGGAGGAGGAAGTCGCTGGCACTGGAGGGGCACAGTAGGGGAAAGGAGGGACGGGAGGCAGAGCATCTCATGGAACTGGGTCATGGCCACACCCAGTCCTGTGCTTACTTTGCTCCAGCCCTGGCAGAAGGGAGTGTCTGGGCAACACTGGTCTTATCTCTGGCACGTGCAACTAGTTTAACAGGCTTCTCAGGTACTGTGATTGGAAGAAAACAGAAAACATGTCATTCAGCTGTGGAGAACTGGAGTGACCATGAAAAGTGTTGCAAGTTCTCTACCAAGCTGTGTCCCAGACCTTCCGGTGGGAAGAAGTGCCTGCTGGAGGAAGAAAATGGGCCCCAAATGCAGGTTCCCATGTTATCCCTTGACAAACCTGAACGGGGAGGGGTGGTACACTTCCAAGCAGGGAGATCTGAATACCAACTGGTGACAAATGAGGAACCCACCTCCACCCCCACCACCAAGATATGCAGAAAGAACAATACTTCTCTGGCTCAAAGTTGTTGGCTGGAACCCAAGGGCCTGTGCCTGGTGGGTTCTTCTGGGCCAGATGGGGGTAACCTCAGCCTTGCTATTGCAGCTGTTCCGGGGAGCTCTGCAGGACCCTGAAGCCCTGCCTCTCAGAACAGCAAACATGGACACACAGGGTAAGGGACTAGAATCCAGGATAATAAACTCTTACAACACACCAATTTAAAAAAAATGGGCAAAGGATCTATGCCCTGGCCGGTTTGGCTCAGCGGTTAGAGCATCAGCCTGCGGTCCCGAGAGACCCGGGTTCGGTTCCCACTAAGGGCATGTACCTCGGTTGCAGTTTGTCCCCGGCCCTGGTTGGTCGTGCGGGTGGCAGCCACTCGATGTGTCCCTTTCACGTCGATGTTTCTCTCTCTCTCTCTCTTCCTCTCTCTCCCTCCCACTCTACCTGAACAAAAAAATGGAAAAAGTGTCCTCGAGTGAGAAATAAAATAAAATAAAATAAAATAAAATAAAATAAAAAAATGGGCAAAGCATCTGAACAGACTTTCTCCAAAGAGGATAACAAATGGCCAATAAATACATGAAAAGATGCTCAATGTCATTAGTCAATAGGAAAACGCACATCAAAATCACAATGAGATGCAATTTTACACCCATTAAGATAGCTAGAATCAAGAAGAGAGACCATAGGCCGGCCAGTGTGGCTCAGTGGTTGAGCGCCGACCTTGCACCAGAAGGTCACTGGTTCAATTCCTGGTCACACGCTCAGGTTGTGGGCCTGATACCCAGTGGGAGCATGCAGGAGGCAGCCAGTCTATGTTCTCTCTCATTGATGTTTCTCTCTCTCTCTCCCTATCCTTTCCTTTCTCTCTAAAATCAATAAAGGAAAAAAATATATATATAAAAAAAGAACACAGACAATAACAAGGATGTGGAGAAACAGGAGCCCCGCACTGGTGGAAATGGACAGTGGTGCAGGTGCTGCGGAAGAGATTGGCGGTTTCTTAGAAAGGTAAACAGAGTTACCATACGGTCCAGTAATTCCACTCTGAGGGTTATACCCTCAAAGCACTGCAAACATCCACGCAAAAACTTGTACACGAATGTTCACAACAGCATTATTCATCATAGCCTAGGCTATGGTAAACATCATGATAAACGAAAGAGGCCACACAGTGTATGATTCCATTTTATATAAAACGTCCAGAAGAGTCAAACCCACAGAGTAAGCAAGTAGATCAGTGGCTGCCTAGAGTTGAGGGGAGGAGAGAATGAGGCGTGACTGCTATTGGGCACGAAGTTTCTCTAGGGGGTGATGAAATGTTCTGAAATTAGACTGTGGTGATGGTTGTACAACTTTGTGAATATACTAAAAGCCACTGAAATGTACACTTCAAAAGAGTAACTTTTATGTGAATTAAATCTCAATTTAAAAAAAAGAGGAGCCCTGGCCAGTTTGGCTCAGCGGTTAGAGCGTCGGCCTGCGGTCCAGAGAGACCCGGGTTCGGTTCCCGCTACGGGCACATATCTCGGTTGCAGTTTGTCCCCGGCCCTGGTTGGTCGTGCAGGTGGCAGCCACTCGATGTGTCCCTTTCACGTCGATGTTTCTCTCTCTCTCCCACTCTATCTGAACAAAAAAATAAAAAAGTGAGGATTAAAAAAAAAAAGAGGAGCCTTGGCCTGTGAGGCTTAGCTGGTTGGAGCGTCGGCCCGTGCACCAGAAGGTGTTGAGTTTGATTTTCAGTCAGGGTACATGTCCAGGTTTTGGGTTGGATCCCCGGTTCAGGAGCGTGCAGGAGGAAACTGATCAATGTTTCTCTCTCTCCCCCTTTCTCTCCCTGAGATAAATAAAAAATTTAAAACATTTAAAAAAAAAGAACAAGGCTAAATCAGGGGGTTCTGGGGAGGGGGGCACTTACTCTCATCCCCCAGGAGATCATCAAGGACGTCATCAATGGAAGCTGGAACAGAAAGGGTGGCGTCATGACTTCAGGAGGAAAGAAGAATGGTCCTTATAGCTACACGTCTTGAGCCGTCACCCCAGGACCTCAGGGCTCTTAGATGTTGGACCTTAGGCTTAGCTCTCTCTCCACTGTCCACGAGACATTTCCTAACGCTGGCAGCAAGTCATATCTTATTGAAGGATCCCAGGGTAGAAACTGAGGATGATGCCCTGGCCGGTTTGGCTCAGCGGTTAGAGTGTCGGCCTACGGTCCAGAGACCCGCGTTCGGTTCCCGCTGGGGGCACGTGCCTCGGTTGCAGTTTGTCCCAGCCCTGGTGGGGTCATGTGGGTGGTGGCCACTCGATGTGTACCTTTCACGTCGATGTTTCTCGCTCTCTCCCTCTCTCTCTCTCTCTCCCCCTCCCACTCTAGCTGAACAAAAATGAAAAACAACAACAACAACAACAACAAAAAGAAACTGAGGATGATGACATCATCTCAGAGGGCGATGGTGAAGATTTTCAGTAGAACCTACATTCTCCGTGACATACTGGCCAACAGTCTTCCAGACACTGAGCAAAGCCCAGTTATGCAACTTTGGGAAAAGTGTCTAAGATTTCTAGGCACATATAAGCTTCTTTCATACCAACAGCCTCCTAGAACCCTTCCACCTGAGACCCCTAGAACTGGTCTGGAGGCATACCTCCTTGGCCACTTTTCCATGGTGTGTGTGGGAACCCAAGGGCGAGTACTAAATTAGTTCTCGCATCCAGCCCAAGTGTCTTCACCACCCGTAACCCCAACCGAGTACTTCTGGATACAGAGCCCAGCAAGAAGAATTTTTTCCCAAGCCCCATCCCTTGCTTATTTCTAAATTACTCTAAGGGCCAGTGAGATAGCATAAGGAGTCCCCTAAAAGACCAAAGCTGCCAATGGAATTATGGGGAAACCATCGGGAATATTCAGACACAGACACACATAAGTTACTTTTGGACCCAAGGTGGGGTAATTTTTTTTGGCTTACAAGTGATGTTCCATCTCTCTACTCACCTTTCAATCCTTTCTTGGTCTTTAGTGCCTAAAAAGGGGAAAACAAATCACTTAAACGAAATCAAACAAGCAATGAACATGTGTTGAAACTGAGAACGCAGAATGAACGGTTTTGCCTTTTGCCAACTCACCCGAGAAAAAAGGAGCACAGATGGCATTTAGAGACATGAGCCCTTTATGCTTTCCTAGTGTCTCTGAGAACAGACCCATTCAGAGCATGGAAACAGCCCCCACCAACCAGCAGTGGCTGCCACAGTGAGTACCCCCACCCCCAAACGCAGAAATCTTTCCTCTCCCCTGAATTCCAGACACCACAGGCAAACCCTCCCAAGCCAGGATGTAATGTGACTGGGAATGCTTTCTTCTATCCCATATCCCTGTTATAATCCAGTAATTCTCCATCCGCTAGAAGAAGGAACCTCTCCTGGGTTCCTTGAACCCGAGTTGTTTTTGCAAAAATTCTTGAAGAGATGCATCAGCCATGACCACAAGGGTATTGACCATGAGCTTAACTAATCAGGAGATGCCAGATGGGACAATGAGGCATTCAAGGCTAAGGTCTAGTAAATGTTAAGAAATATAAAATAAACAACTTGTGCAGTTACTAACTGCTGATATCTGCTTCTGTACACATAGCTTGCTTGCTCTGCTAAACTCTTGAGTAACCCGTCCTATATAAGCAACCCTCCCCCTGAGCTCGGGGCTGCAGTTCTCCTCTGAGTAGGTTGGCTGCAGTCCCTGCACAGGTAATAAAGCTCCTAATATTCAAAATTACTTGATGTCTGAGTGAGGATGACTTTCCTGGGTTACAACAATCCCCAACCCAATACTGGAGACAAACTTAAAAATGCTTCCAGCTGCACATTCAGAGGCTCAGAAGAAACGCTTGCTCCTTGCTTAACAAGAAGTCGGATATCGGTGAGCAACAAATCTGGTCACACTTCTCCAGGGGCCACATCCTGGTCCTGGCCACCAGGCCCCCACAGTAGCCACACAGTCAGATCTTGGGGGCGGGGGCAGGTTCGCATTCCCACGCCATCTCACTCTGCATTCTGCCTACCATCTCCAGGCTCCAGAGGCTGCTTGCAGCTCCTTCACAGTGCTGTCCAACTCATCTGAATTCTGCCCACATCAGATTCATGCTCCCTAATGAAGAAAAGGAGAGTAATTGCTTAAAAATGACGTCACTTGAATGATACTTGAGTCCAAGGCCTATCAAGGCGTCTCTCACTGCCCAGACAAGAGGTTGAACCTACTTGCAGAAGCTAAAAATCCCTTACGGGGGTGCAATTCAGATGAGACAGTGTGCTGGGTAACTCAATGAGCGTTCCCCCGCCTGGAGATGACTCAAATTATGTGCAGTGCTCATCCCTCGCGGTAAAGAGGATGCGGGAGATGGCAGGGCCCATCTCAGAGTGGGTGCCTGCCCTGGCCCCAGGGCACCGCCTTCCCAGGCCACACCCGTGACTGTTTCCTAGGGAGCATTCAGCGCCAACAGCAGAGGTGCACATATTTTCATTGAGAGTGGACATTTCTTCCTTCACACTAACTATACCTCCGACTCACCCCATTAATAGAGAACCGTATCGCTCTCTCCTGCCCCTCCTGCACGTCCCGAGAACGGACCTTTGGCTCGCCTTGAAGAAAGGAGTCGGAGCGGGTCACCTGTGTCCCTGGTGCTGGCCTATCCTGTTATTAGGATGCAAAGTTTAACTGGGGTTGCACAGGGGCCACGCTGAATGTTTCTCTTTCTCTGGAAGGGCAATTTTCACGACCGAGAAGTGCACACACGCTTTGTCTCAGGGCACGTCCAGGCACTTCCGGTCATCTGTGGCGCGGCCTCCCAGACCGCGGGGATTTCTAAGAGGTGTGCAAAGGCCACAGGGCCACAAGGGCCCTCATGCCGCATCTGCTCAGCCAACTCCGCGCCAGTCATTGAAAAACCCCGAGCCCGCCCCTTAGCGAGGGCCCTCCCGGGGCACGCCCTCGGGCCCGAGACTCCGCGCCCTCCGCGCATCAACCCTCTGCGCGCCCAGCCCATTTCGAGCCCCGCGCAGCCTCCGATCCTCCCAGGCCCTGAAATCCCCCGGGTTACGCGCCATTCCTTTCGGAGGCGCAGCCGCTGGGACTTGTCCGGGCCATAGCTGCTGGTACCGGCCCAGCTCGGCCAGGTTTCCCGCTTCGGGGCCCAGCGGACGCCAATCTCGTGGTCACCGGGTCTCAGAGAGAAAGACGAGGCGAGAGGCATCCTGGGAGTTGTAGTCCACGCCCCGCTCACCTGCCAGGTCCCAGGAAACAGGGGACGCCAAGACGAACTACATTTCCCAGGGTGCCCCGCCGCGGCCGTTAGTCGCGCCGGGCCTCTGTTCGCGGCTCCGCCCGTTGCTAGGAGCTGCCTCAACGCTCCTTTAGCTGATACACTTGGGCTCTGAGACCCAACCCTCTCTGAGCGCTGATTCCTGACGCGGAGGGCGTGAGACATGTGTTAAGACTGGAAGACTGGCATGTCAAACCGTAATTATGGACTCATCCCACATTCCAAAGCTTAGGAAAGTGGCTGTGATCTAACTTCAATTAAGAAGATCAAAGATGCAAAGCCGGAATGAAACCCAGTATCACCAATAACGACAAATAACACTTTTTGTGGTCATTACAGATTCTATTACGGGTGTTACAGTTTTACAAAGGAAAAGGGGGTTTGTGGTTTGGCTTACCCGCCGGCCCAGCAGTGCTGGCGGGAAACCGCTGTCTCACCGTGACGGACAGGCTCTGGACTCCTGCACGTGGTCGGCACCCCCGCCCCCACTGGCAGGTCCGGCCAGGGATGGGCAACAACACAAGCTAGATGCATCTTTTCGGGTGGAACCAAACTCAAACCACAACAGTAAAAGGAACAAGGAGGCAAAGGAATTATACACTCCAAAGGATATACGTCCTATCCTTGAATTCACCGCAATTTTAACCAAAATGGTGTTTACAAAGTAGTAGCAGTCTGAATATTATGTGGAAGATCACATATACCTAAGCTATGAAACAGTCAACAGCATTGTGGCAAAGCAACTTATTTTGGTTCAGAATTAAATAAAATTTTTGTTAATTTGAGAGAGAAACATTGATTCATTGTTCCACTTATATATGCCTTGACTGGGGATCGAACTTACACCTTGGCCTATCGGGACGATTCAAAATTCTCAAAATTACTTCCAATTTTACATGATCTTCCTGAGATAATACTTAATTTAAGGCAAGATCAAACAAAAACCCTTAGAATCTAGGAATTTGCAACAGCTAACATCTGGTAACTAACTCCAAAGGTTCCTTGTATATTTCTATGTTTACTTTCATGGACCACAGGAATCATTACTGAAAAACTTATATAAGTATGCATAGATAAAAGGAAAACACCACCACCAACATTTTAAAATGAAAAAGCATTGTAGTCATTTACATATGACTTGGTCTAATACTCCAAGAATGGAGAAGTCAATATTCAATTAGCTGAGATCATTGATTTCCACATTATTCCATGGAAATGATCAAAACCTTTATTGGAGGCAGGAGACTCAATAAGACTCCTGGTCTCAGGTGGAATAATCAATTTCCTGGTTCTGCGCCTCTTTCCAGCTGCAGGAGCAGCTTCTGCTTGAAGACAACTTGTAACTGCAGGCATACTTTCCACATATATAAAAAGATTAGCAGGTTAGAAACCATCTTCATCTATTCTCTTCCTTCCTGAAAAGATGGATGGAAAGAACTCAGAAATGGGTAGGAGGGACTGAGGAGCATTCTTCACTGAAGAAAGCCAAGAATTAAGGTCTAATATGTTAACTTCAGGAGTTAGAAAATGCCTCCATGCCCTGGCCGGTTCGGCTCAGCAGTTAGAGCATCGGCCTGCGGTCCGAAGAGAGCTGGGTTCAGTTCCCGCTAAGGGCACGTGCCTTGGTTGCAGTTTTTCCCTGGCCCTGGTTGGGTCGTGTGGGTGGCAGCCACTCGACGTGTCCCTTCCACGTTGATGTTTCTCTCTCTCTCTCTCCCTCCCACTCTATCTGAACAAAATATCGAGAAGTGTCCTCGGGTGAGGATTAAAAAAAAAAAAAATGCCTCCAGGTACACATAATCTGAAATTAGAGTTCTCAGAAAACATGTCAACATAGTTAACACTGTAGTTAAAATGTTCTGAAATAATCTGATACTTTTGTAGTGTTATGTTCTGAAGACAAGAACAGGAAGGGCCCCAAGGTTCTGGAACCAATAGTATTTTGGGGTCACTAACGTTCAAACATTGAAATAATCCTCAGTGCATATCGAACAAGAAATACAGCTCCAAACACCTGAGGAAGATCAACTTTCATCCATAGCAAAGACATCCCTATTAAGTCTCAAAATTTCAATTTTGAGTACTATTCAGAGTACTTTTTAGGAAAGACATCATTTAATAGAAAAATCTCATTAATTCTACGTGGTCTTTATCATACTTTTGGAGACAAGGTTGAAGTTTATCTTTGTGTTCTCTGAAAATGGCTCACAAAAGAACCAAAACCTAGGTATGTGCCCCGACTGGGAATTGAACCCCAACCGGCGACCTACTGGTGCATGAGTCGATGCTTAACCACAGAGCCACATCGGCCTGGCTCCAGACTGCAGCAATTAGGGCAGACTTTAGTGCTACAGGCTCAGGCAGTTCTCATGTCTTTTATTTTTAGTGCCACCTGAACCTAATAAACCTGTTACCTTAAAATCCTTCATAATTTGAACTTACGTTTAATTATTTGATACACTCTTTCCCTCTTGACAGAACAAACTAATGAGGTTTTATTACATCTTTATTCTTTAATTACAGTGAGTAAATTCAAGACAAAACATTCCAGTATCAATAAAAATATTACTAAATATCAGATTTAGTTTTTGATTAGGTGCTTGTCATTTCAAACATCCTCAGATCCTGATCACAGATATTTATGTAAGGTATTTAAACACTAATGTCAAAAGTTTTGCATTTAACAGGTCTTCAGCAATTTAAATTTACTTTATTTCTCAGAATCTGAACTACCGTCAAGATATATCCAAATGAGAACACAGTGCATTTCACTTCCATCTTCACACAATTAGCAATTCTCCTGTTGGAAAGAGTAAGGCTTGGGTCAACAGCATTTCTGCTGGACCTAAATTCTCGTATTACTAGTTCCACTGGGACAGATCTTATGTCCCAGGTAGGAATTACATTTCCACTGAGTTATATACCATATCCTCAGGACTGATCTTAAAACCACTGGTTTCCTGAGGCAGACGTCACAGATACAGTTAGCAGGTTAAAAAAATATACATGTATCAAGTGATGTTGTTTTACATTGATTTTGAGAATCAAATTCATTAAGAAGTACATGCTTATCCTTTGAATACAGAATGATTGTGCAAATTAAGTTTCAGTTGAAAGGGAAATTTCGCAGTTCAGATCAAACTCCTAGAAACACACTGGAAACAAAGCCAGATGTATAGTAAGTAGACTTTACAGGAATTCCATTTATTCTTTTAGCCATAGTTTCAATGATTATATATATTTAAAATTTTTTTCTTTATTGATTTTAGAGAGAGAGAAAGGGAAAGGGAGCAAGTTAGAAACATCAATGAGAGAGAACATCAATTGGCCACCTCCTGCAGTCCCCCACTGGGGATCGGGCCCACAACCTGGGCATGTGCCCTGATCAGGAATCAAACTGGTGATCTCTTGGTGCAGGGGCTGACGCTCAAGCACTGAGCCACACTGGCCAGGCAATGATTATATTTTTTGATCCAAAAATCAGAACACATGGTTTGCAAAGGATTTTCTGTGCCTCTCCTGTGGGTAAGAGGTAACTTGAGTGGTGCTTTGACTTTTACCATGCCAGAGACCGGAACCTCCAAGCCTTTTAATGGTTTAGGCCAAAATGACAGCATATATGAAATCTGGATCGCTCGACTCTCCAGTTAATGTGGTCACCAAAGTTACAGTAACCATAACTGACAGGTTTCCCTATACTTATAGTCTATCAGGAAGGAACCCTGACTTTTTCTCCTTTCTTCAGCACCTCTTTTAGGTTAGGGGAGACCAAACACCACTGATCGATGTCCCATCAGCTGCCAAAGGTTCTACGTAGATAAATCTTTGCCACCTCCCTCTTCCCAAGATACTGGGGACAAAGGGAGCCATAGTGCTACTACAGTGACAATTTAGGGATCCTTCAAATGGAAGATTAATTCCCAATTACAGAGGACAATGATTTTGCAATAGGCCTGTGTTGAAGAAATCCCTGTGTTGGAAAACTACTACCATGAACAAAAGAAAATATGTCAGCAACCAAGGGCAAGCAGGCAGAAAAAGTGTTAAGCACAGACTCACACCAAATGTCCTGATTAGTTTATTTCCCCAATCCGTTTTCTTCAGTTCTTTTAAGCCAGAGCCATGGTGGGAGCAGTGGGGCACTTAGCAGGAAAGTTTAGAAGGGTTCTGGCCCACTTTAAAAATAGCTGTTTATAAACACTTATATCCAGTGATTAGCAATTAAGATGTGAAAAAATTAACTACTTAGTAGTTAAATTCTACAAATTATCAACAGTTATGGCCTCGGATCAGCAGTGTTACAAAGGGAAATCATATTGCCTTTCTTAAAGCTTTTTCTGAATACTTAGCAAGTCTCTTTCAATGTTAATTGCACTTAAAATACTTTTTTTTCCCTTTACTCTCTCAAAGCTGTTTTCTTTGTTTATAAAGAGGAAGGGGGTCCACTGAGCATGTTCGCCAGCTCTCTGAATTCAGTTGAGATTCCAAGCAGATCCGTGTGCCAGGTGCAGGGGGAGCAGAGGGCAATGTTGTCACCTTCAGAGCTTGGACTGCAGCGGCTTCAGGTGCTTGTAGTAAGATTCATGGACCTGAGGGAAGGGAGAGAGCAGAAATGTCTGATGAGAAGCTTGCAATGTTTTAACCAAGAGCACAGTTTTAACCAAGAAATTATTGGGATCTTATTTGGATCCTGATCCAAAGAAACTGAAGAAGGGAAAAATAGAATCCAGCCAAGTGGGAAACTCTGGACACACTAGGTAGCTCACGAGAGTGAAGAATTATTAATTTGTTTAGGTGTGAGAATGATGTAGTGGTTATATTTCCAAAAAGAATCCTGATCTTTTAGAAATACACATTGAAATATTTATGGATAAAATGATCTGATACCTTGAATTTGTTCCAAAATAGTCCTCTGGAGGAGGGGGGAGGGGAGGGGTCTCAGATGAGACTAACTGGCTGTAGTAGATGGTGGCTGAAGATGACAATGGGCACGTGGCACCGCATCAGTCTCCTACTTCTGTGTACGTCTGAAAATCTTTGACGTTACTGAATAGTCAAGGGAATTAAAAACCTGCTACCTCGGGAATGACCCAGTTCCCTTCTGAGCCTGTCATGTGAACAAAGGGACTGTCCGAGGTGAGTTTCCAAAGCTTTTACAGATGGACCATGCTTACATGTCTCATCTGTCTTAATATTTAAATGAAAAATTACAAAAGGTGAAGAGATTATTTTTACCTCTTCTCTGTTCAGTGGGGACATCTTGGCCCACTCAAACAAGTTTTCATACACATTCCCATCATAGCGGCCGAGCACAGAGCCCAGCGACACATCCTGAAAATCAAACGCATCAACCAAAGCAACGGCCTCCGGGCGGATGCTGGTCAGTAACTCCTTGATGCGCTGGTGCACTTGGGTGACCTGAGAGTCTGTCAGGATTCTCTCCTGGAAGAGACAAGACAAGCAAATGACATATGTGTCTGTGCAGGGGCAGGCAAACGTAGGTTTGCAGGTGCATTGTGACGTTACGAGTTCATAAAGCTACTGTGATAAGCATAACCTGTGTGTCTTTTTCCATACGAACAACTGTAAACCTACCTCTAAAAAAATCAATAAATGCATATTTGAAACAGACAAAATGACTTCAACTTAGAAAAATATACAGACCTGAAGAAAATCCCCCGCCTTCTGACTGATTCCATACAGAGAATACAAGAGAAACAGATTCCTCAGGACAGCTTGGATGGATTTATCCTGAATTTTGAGGAGCCGCTCTGCAAAGAGCTTCACTGTCACGTAGTGGCAATGTGCCTGGACAGAAAGAACACAAGAGAGTACGAGAACCTGCCGAAGAGGCTCTTCCCGCGCGACAGGGTTTCTACACCAGGAAACCAAGTGGGGTGGTGGAGTGAGGGGTGGAGATGGGGAGATGGAGAGAGAGCGATCACTGACCTCACTTGCTCGAACAAGGTCAACAGAAGTTAGGTTCCATGCTACCTCCTTGCTTTTCCTGTGACTCACTTCAGTTTGAAGGTTTTTAGCAGCAATTTCTACTAATCTGTTAAGGAATGAAAGAAAACTGAAGCTCGGAGGAAGAGATCAATGGAGCCTCCTTCCTCTTCCAGCAGGCCCCCAGCCCGAGGCCCTGGGCTGCCGTTCCAGGCTGGAGGGCGAGCGCACCTGGCTGCACGAAGTTTATACGCGTCTGCGAGGCTGCTGGGGCTGCCGAGGTCCACCACCGTCGGCCACACTGCCACCTGCTGTGGCTGGATGCGCTGACTGGGCAGGTCATTCAAGTAGGACACCATGCCACACGCCAACTTTCCCGAGCACACCTGGTCATAGCTTTTCATGAGAAACCTAAAATTCATCAGGACACATGCTTTCAGTAACACTGCTGCTTAGGAAACAGAAATAAAAGCAAACCTTCAAATGGCTTTAAGTTATTGACAGGTGACTTTTATACTTGCTAGTCTGATCACAAGATAAAAACATGGGTCAGGATAGAAGGCAAAACGACATCTTTCAGGAACAAACATAACGTGAACAGAAAACATGATAACAGGGACCGATGGAAAGGCCTAGAACACTTTTTTTTTTTTAGAGGGAAAGAGAAAGGGAGAGAGAGAGAGAGAGAGAAACATCGATTGGCCGCCTCCTGCACGCCCTCTACTAGGGATAAAGCCCATAACCCAGGCATGTGCCCTGACCGGGAATCAAACCGGGACCTCTCCGTCCATGGGGCGATGCTCAATCCACTGAGCAACACCACCGAGCTGGACTAGAACACTCTTATCACTAAACAACAGTCATCATGAGTTAAGACTCTCACCGGGCTGTCTGTAGCATCATGACAGTGTTTTCTCCCTCAAAGGTGCAGGTCGGAGTGAAAGTGACGTAAATGTTGGGAAGACCACTGCAGTGAGAATAGCCGTGGCCGCCACAGGCCATCCGACAGGCTTCGATGGCAGTGTTAGTCGTCCAGGAGGTGAAAGCCTTCAGCCCGGCGGAGAGGGCATGAAGCTGAAGGGAAGCACAGGTCATCAGAACTGCTGACAGCCGAGTTCCAATGGCAAACACTAAGCCTCCTCTCCCGGCGCTGTCACTTTCAACACCACTCACCACACGTGTCACCGAAGCAGCACAGGCATCCTGGCCTGAATCACTACATCCCCACACTCCCTTCTGACTCTGCCACTTGGCAGACAGTCGCTACTCACGCCCCCTGATTAACAGACGAGCAATGAGGTACAGCACTTCCGAAGCCTGAAGACAAAACCCACACATCACACCTAACTCGCTTTCAGTCCAAAGAATGCTTGGATCTTTGGAGAATTCCGGCGTTTTCTCTGGACACTCTCTAACAGGCAGGTAAGAAACAGAAGGTGTCCACAAGGGAGTGAGACCAGACACGCACCTCGGGCAGCTCACTCAGGTCGCCCTGGCCGATGTCCTCGTTGATGCGATGGTAGGTCTCCTTGATGTATGCGCCTACAAAATGGAAGGCGTAGGCAGTGGCCAGGAGTGGGAAGAGTTTAAACTGCTGGGTTTGGAAATCCAAAATCTGTGGTTCTGGTTCACTAAAATATACAGAAAAAAAAAAAAAATTAAACACACATACAGAACTCACTCTGCGTCAAGTTCTAGTCTGAACACGTTGATATATTAATGCTCATAAAGACTCTGTGAGGTAACTTATTACTCTCGTTTTACAGAGGTCAAGGACCTGCCTACAGTCACTCAGCCCTAAGTGGGAGACGCTTGATTTACACAGAGGCTATGTTTTTACAGAAGCTGCCCTTGACCACCTTGGAAAGCCAGGTGGACAGAAGTTTCTGGCTCTGGAGTTCATATCTTTCTTTGTCTTTCCAATGTGACTGAAGAAACTATACCAATGGCAACTTACATAACGAGTTAGTTAAGGAAGGCAGTGTTAAAGAGACCTATCCACTAACTAGATGGCTGAATAAACTATATATATTTTAAAATACGTTTTTATTGATTTTTAGAGAGAGAAGAGGGAGGAGAAACAGAAAGACTGATGAGAGAAAAACATCAATCAGCTGCCTCCTCCGCACCCCTCAATGGGGACTGAGCCTGCAACCTGGGCACGTGCCCTGACCAGGAATCAAACCAGCAACCTATGCGATAGGTCCATGGGTCAACACTCACCACTGAGCCACACCAGCTGGGCTGAATAAACTACATTTTGACCACAATTATGGAGAAGACCTTAATGCAGAGTTAAACATCTGAAGTCCAAGAAGGCCTGCTCTTATCGATTTCTTCATTCCTTCTTTCAGAGCAAGAAGGTTCCGGGAGTCATGCCCAAGTGAAAGGCAGTGGCAGGAACAAACTACAGGCATGGACACAACAGGGACCCGAGTTGAGCATCACTCCACCACGCCCAGTTTGTAGTCTCAGGAGCAATTAGAATTTTCAATGTTTTGAACCTTTCATGTATAGAGCTTAAGTAATATTACTGTTTCCGTAGAAGGTTAAAGATAGTAAGGTGGTGCCCTGGCCGGTTTGGCTCAGCGGTTAGAGCGTCGGCCTGCGGTCCAGAGAGACCCGGGTTCGGTTCCCGCTAAGGGCACGTACCTTGGTTGCAGTTTGTCCCCGGCCCTGGTTGGTCGTGAGGGTGGCAGCCACTCAATGTGTCCCTTTCACGTCAATGTTTCTCTCTGTCTTCCTCTCTCTCCCTCCCACTCTATCTGAACAAAAAAATGGAAAAATGTCCTCGGGTGAGGATTAAAAAAAAAAAAAAAAAGATAGTAAGGTGGTATCCTCCTCTTTCCAGTTCAGAAAAGGAAGTCTAGGTTCTAAGTAGCGAGCCAGTACACTGCCACCTTAGCTAACCTTACGGCTAATGCGTCTTCTCTACACCACATCTGGGAACTCTGGGAGCTGAATGGCCTCAAAGCCAGGTCTATGGTAACGAGCCCACGTTGGCTGCCTCCTTACCCGGGATTGATTTCAGACTGGTGCCTCACGGCGCTGTAGCGGATGGCAATGGTGCACGCCTTAGCCAGAGAGCGAGCAGCTTCCCCCACAAGGACGGACCTGATGAACACCATGGTCCCGTAGGTCAGTTTGTTGCTCACGGGTTTCACGTATGTGCCATCAGGCTTCACCTGGAAAAAGAACACAAGGCTGAGCTTCCTCTCTTAAACCTGGGAGGCCGTTTCGGCCAGTGGTTCTCAAAGTGTGGTCCCCAGTACAGCAGCATCAGCGTCACCCGGGACCTGGTTTGAAATATAAAATCTCAGTTCCCACATTGATCTGGTAAATCAGAAACTCTGGGGCCCAAGCAATCTGGATTTGAGCCAGCCCTCCAGATCATTCTAATGCATCCCACAGTTTGAGACCACTGGTTTAGCAGACCTGAATCGTCTGGTTTCACTGTCATAATAAAAAAGCATCAAAAATAAAACTATGTTATTACCTTCTAAAAACAGACCATTTTAACCCCGTGGTAATCAACAGCCACAGCAACCCCCATGCTCGACACCTCTGCTCCTCTTTTTGCTTTAATATACCTGGGCATACTTCATCAGCATGTTTTCTCTGGGTATACGATAATGGTCCATCTTCAGGTAGCCATTATCCGTCTCATCAAAGCCGAATTTAGGGCCAATGTCCCCAACAGTGATGCCTACCACAGGAGAAAGGAAAGTCATCAGGTGTGTGTATTCTGAAATTCCTGGCTGTCCCCACTCCTCTTTAGTTGTGTGTTATTCTTTTTGCAGAAGAAAGTACTCAGTTTAAGTTTCCACCTTAAAACCAGATGAATAATTCTAACCTGGCAAAGGCTTATGGGTCCCAATTTCACGAATAGGTACAATGAAGGCATGTAATCCGTAGCATTTTCCCTTAGTGTAGAGTTGGGCAAGTACTATCGCGTGATTTGAAGTTTTTCCAACTGTAACATCAGGGAAAACAAGAGTGACAAGTGAGCAACTGTTCTTACATGGTCCAAGGATGGAAACAAAAGAGGGGAGAAAACATGTGAACACAACACTAGACCATCACTGAAGTGTGCAGACAGCCTTTCTGATGACAGTGCCACACCTAGTTTTCAGAGGAAAATCTACATAAGCTGAGAGTTATTGAAATTTCTGGAACTTTGGCAAAGCAATCCTTCATTTCCATATACATATAAACAAACTTTTTAAAGGGATCACTGACATAACACTGTGTGAGTCTAAGATGCACAACATGTTGATTTGATAGCAATCCATTTTAAAAGACAGCTCAGTTCTACTTTCTTTTCTACTTATTTACACAAAAAAATTATAGGATAACCATTAAGAACATTAATTTAAATTACTTCCTTTTTCTCCCTTAAGGTAGTGCTTTCCAAACAGTAGCCACTAGCCATGTATGGCTATTTAGATTTAAATTAACTATAATTAAATTAAATAAAAGATTCAGTTCCCTAGTCAAGTAGCTGCATCTCGAGTGCTCAATGGTCTGCACGGCAGTGGCCACCATAACAGCAACGTTCACACTGATGTTTCTCTTTCTCTCGAGATAAAAAGAATGTATATCTTAAGAAAATGACTCAAAATGGAAGACAATATTAAATAAGTTTCATGTCAGGCTTATTTATAATAAAAATTTGAAAACAACTCAAGTGCTTTTCAATACAGACATGACATGACTAACCAAATAGAGAATACAAAGTTATTTTAAATGACGACCATGTAAAACTACGCTAATACACGGAAACGTTTAGATGAAAAACTAAGAAAAGCAGAGTAAGCCAGCTGTCCTTTCTGCACTTTGTAAAATGTATAAATAGCTGTAACATGCACTACAAGAGAATGTGAAATAGCTCAGAATATTCAAGCCTTAAGAGTTTTTCTATTTAAAAAAAAGTTGTTTTTTTTTTTTTATACTTCAAAATGATATTCTCATATAAGCTCTACATTCTAAACATGATCTTATTTATAACTGTTGAAAAATTCACTTACGTCCACCAGGCCACCACTTGATGGAGGTCACAGTAGGACTATTGAGAATAAACTCCTGGGTTTCAGGGTCATAAGTGGCTGTGGTTTCCAAGCCTCGAAGATGAGTTCCTAATGAAATAAATTACATTCACTTCAGACAGAATATGGGGAAAAAATAGGTAGAGGATATAGGTCCAGTCCTTTAAGCCCTAGTACCTCAGAGAATAACAGCCTCTAATGACAATATAGTTTTCAGATGAGCTACATATGATTGGTAACCAAGACACATGATTTCCTATACTTAAATCAGGTAACATTTACTTAGATCAACTAACGAAAATGTGAAGGCAGCTCAGAATCGGTTTCATGAGAGCACAGGGTACTAATTTTGTGGGGAAGTTAACTGCTCTTTTAAACCAACCTCTGAGTTGTGAGCATGCCAATTTCAACTCATACTATTGTGTTTCCCGCACCAACTACAAAGAGTAAGTTAACGTGACAGAAGAGACTTTAGTTAAGTCTTGTAAATTGGGAATTTATTTCAGAATGATTGCTAGAATGAAAAACAAGATTTTAAAAAGGTATAACACTATGGGGTCAGACCCAAAACAGGCACTTATCCGGGCTGAGTGACCAGGAAGGGCTCCCGGTTTCCTGTATTTACTGAAGAGGGTCAAATAGGCCAAAACTCTTTTAAAAGAGTTACAAGAAAATGTTCTAAGTGACACTCTCCCTAACAACACAAACTGCTTTGTTAATGCTAAGTAGATCTCACTAAACACCGAAACTCAGAAACTTTTGGAAACTCCCAAGGTGAACAATAGACATGGCCTGTTGATATGCCCCACAACCTGCCCCAGAGTGGGAATTGAGGAAATAAACAGACTCCTTTCACCAAAGCAGCAGCTTTCCAAGAAAATGAGTTAACATTAAACAGAACAGATTATGAAAAATGTTTTCAAATACACAATGGAACCAAATGGCAGTCCACTTTGTCTCGAGAACCCTGGGAAGCACCGTTTAGCACCAAAGTTGAAAGCCAAAGCAGCTACAAAATGAAGATGAAGTCACACAGAAATAAGGAGCAAATAGCAGATAAATGCACATTACACCAGTTGCCCTGAAATCTCTGAGTAGAAAAACAGTAGAAAAGTGACTGCAGACCCTTTAGAAGCAAATGAATGACCGGCACAGATACGAATTCAGAACAGACAGAAAAAGGGAGGGATGGGAAGAAAAAAGGTAGATACAGAGTGTGAAACCAACTGCCCGAGGTACAGCTAATCTTATTTTCTGAACTTTGGCTAAACCACCTTCAGAATTTAACCACATATACTGAATCAAGGCACAAGTAACTTCCGGGTATAAAATGCTGCATATTTTGCTTATATAAGCCACTCCTTACCCGTCAGCAAATCAAAGAGCACAGAAACTGTGAACCTGTATTTCTTCTGGAATTTCTGCAAGTTTACGAATGTATCAGTAGTAAGGGTACTCCCATAAAAACAAAGAAAGATGGGTTCAGATTCCATATGCAAACACATCCTATGCAACTTCAGTGAGCTTGGAAAACCACTTACTAAGGCCTGACTTGTAACTACTGACCTTCTAAAGGAGAACCAATGAAAAAAAATTAGCATATCTCTTTGAAAACATAACCTTTCATTTTCACTGACCAAAGCAGTATCATTGCCAAGGCTTTTATGTTGAAAAACCTAGCTTCTGCCCTGGCCAGTTTGGCTCAGCGGTTAGAGCATCGGCCTGCAGTCCAGGGAGACCCGGGTTCGGTTCCTGCTAGGGGCACGTACCTCGGTTGCAGTTTGTCCCCGGCCCTGGTTGGGTCGTGTGGGTGGCAACCACTCGATGTGTCCCTTTCACGTCAATGTTTCTCTCTCTCTGTCCCACTCTATCTGAACAAAAAAATAGAAAAATGTCCTCAGGTGAGGATAAAAAAAAACCACAACTTGGCTTCTGCAGCAAGGTCACACTAGCCCTGGCCGGTTTGACTCAGCGGTTAGAGCGTTGGCCTGGGGTCCAGAGAGACCCGAGTTCGGTTCCCGCTAAGGGCACGTACCTCGGTTGCAGTTTGTCCCCGGCCCTGGTTGGGTCGTGTGGGTGGCAGCCACTCGATGTGTCCCTTTCACGTCGATGTTTCTCTCTCTCTCTCTCCCTCCCACTCTATCTGAACAAAATATCGAGAAATGTCCTCGGGTGAGGACAAATAAATAAATAAATCTTTTAAAGGTCACACTAAAACAGCTCATAATGGCACACAGAGATGCCATCGCTAAAATATGGCAGGCACTCCGTACGTGCTAAGTTGCAGCACCCCGCCCAACCCAGAAGATAGACTGAATGCACCATACCATGACCCATCTCTGTCTGGGCATAAGTGCCAATGATCTCCAAGCTCCAGGTGGGCATGAAGAAGCGCTCCTGCTGTTCCGCAGTTGCCTGGTGAAGCAAGGTGGGCAGGAACATGCCCAAGTGAAGATCCAGAGGCGAAGGCCCTCGGTGCACAAAGCTTTGAAGGAATACCAAAGGTGGGCATTTGAGAAGAGCCATCAGGTGTGGTGTGAGAGAATCAGCAATGTGAACAGACAGATCAAGGGAAGAAGAAGAAAAAAAAAACCTTCGGTAAGTATTAGTTACTTGGGTGGACTTTTCCATGTATAAGAACACTGCCTTTCTGTATTACTTCATAACTTGGCAATAGCCATTTTTCTGAAGTTGGCAAGAAATATTTTTATATGCTACGCAGCTCTAAAATGATTCCGTTTGGCAGGTCTGACTGCCAATTTCAGGGCCTGTGCAGCACACAAAACCATATGATCAAGGCAGAGGGTTCCAGGCTTGCCATTAAATCAAAGGAACTAAAAAACTGGAAGAGGCCGGGTCAGTGTGGCTCAGTGGTTGAGCATCGACCTATGTACCAAGAGGTCACCGGTTCGATTCCCGGTCGGGGCTTATGCCCAGCTTGTGGGCCCGATCCCCAGTGTGGGGGAATGCAGGAGGTGGCCAATTGATGTTCTCTCTCATCGATGTTTTTATCTTTCTCTCCTTCCTTCTTCCTCCATAAAATCAATAAAGAAAAAAAAAAAAGAGGTCGCCAGTTAGATTCCTGGTCAGGGCACATGTCCAGGTTGTGGGCCAAATCCCCAGTATGGGGCATGCAGGAGGTGGCCAATCAATGTTCTCTCTTATTTATGTTTCTCTCTCTCTCTCCCTCCTTCAAAATCAATAAAGAAAAAAAATAATAAATAAATCAAGTATTTTATGCCCTGGCTGGTTTGGCTCAGTGGTTGGAGCATCGGCCTGCAGACCAGAGAATCCCAGGTTCGGTTCCCGCTAGGGGCACATACCAAAAATAAAATAAAAATAAAATATTTAAAAACAAAACTGAAGAGGCTGCATGCGATTCAGAATCGAAGTTGTACGATGGTTTGCTCTGAATAGCAGCTGAGACGGAACACAGCAGCTCTCTCTGAGAGGAGTTTCTCCTAGGTGCAGTTTCAGCAATGCTAGACTCTTGTTTGTCCACAAAACATCCAGCACTAATCCACATTCCTCAACTAACTCTGCTCATTCTATTCGGGTTCATCATAAATATCTAACCAAGTGCCATCAAAACAATTTAATACAAAACTGACAAATAAATTTGTGCTCTTCATCCCAATAAATTTCAGAAATAAAAAGGACAAGCAATTTCTAGTGAAGACCATAGTAACTACAAACAACAGTCATGCATACCAACCTCTCCAGTACAATCTATGGGAATTGTCACTATGATAATAAGCATCTCAGCAGCCATTTTAATTCCACTTTCTAAAGTCATTCTTTTCCATTAAAAATCTGCAGATGCTTTAGACTTTTGTGTGAATTTATCTTTGGTAGGAAATAGTTCTATATGCTTTCTATATGCTCTTGTATTTTCTGATGTTACTGGCATTCTATTTAGCTTCCAGCACTAAATTAACCAACTCTACATTGGCCTTATTCTCTTTAATTATCTTAGAAATATTTCAGTTTTAAGATCTTTGGGTTTGTTCCATGTAAGGTGAGGAAAAAAATAACCAGGGCACACTGCTCAGGCAAGAACTGACCAATTATGGCTTCCAATTGGGTGGCTGTGCTGTCAGCTAACCAATCACATAAAAATCAAAAAACTCGTGATGGACTTCCTCATTTTAGAAACAAATCCGGGCTGAGATGAGTTAAATGCGTTCAGGACAAAAAGATATGGGCAAAACAATGACAAGCATCTCATATGCCTAGCCCTGGCCGGGTAGTTCAGTTGGTAAGAGCATTGTCCCCATACGCCAAGGTTTTGGATTCGATCCCTGGTCAGGGCACATACAAGAATCAACCAATGAATACATGAGTGGAACAACAAATTGATGTTGCCCCCTCTCTCTCCTCCTTTCTCCTCCCTCTCTAAAAATAAAACAATTAAATTAAAAAAAAAATCTTATCACGTAATCGTATCTTCTAGTCCAGTGCCACTGGGCTGAGAACAATGATGAGTACACTTACAGACAGGCCAAAACCAGAGCTATCCTTGGAAGCATCCAGTAAGATGTGACTACTGGTGGAAACTGGGTGAAAGGTCCACAAAATTGCTCTATGCTATTTTTACAACTTCCTATGAATCTATAACCATTTCAAAAAAAAATTCATGGGATGAAAAAGTGCAGTTCACTCATAATCAAGAATAACAACTGGCCCTGGCTGGTTTGGTTCAACAGTTGGAGCGTCGGCCTGCGGTCCGGAGAGACCCGGGTTGGGTTCCCGCTAAGGGTGCAAAGCTCGGTTGCAGTTTGTCCCCGGCCCTGGTTTGTCATGCGGGTGGCAGCCACTTGATGTGTCCCTTTCACATCGATATTTCTCTCTCTCTCCCTCCCACTCTACCTGAACAAAAAATGTCCTCGGGTGAGGATAAAAAGAAAAAGGCCCTGGCTAGTTTGGCTCAGCAGTTGGAGCGTTGGCCTGCGGTCCAGAGAGACCCAGGGTTCGGTTCCTGCTAAGGGCATGTAACTCGGCTGCAGTTTGGCCCTGGTCCTGGTTGGGTCGTGTGGATGACAGGCACTCGATGTGTCCCTTTCACATCCATGTTTCTCTCTCTCTCTCTC